ATAGAAACGTTAAGTTTATTAATTACCATATATCCTCTTTAAAAATGTGTTTAATATCTCTAAGTTGATGCGTGCTGGTGTTGATTTCTGTGGTTGGGCTTCATTCATGGAATTCATGTTAGTTTCCCTCTAATGATTCTTGGATGGGCAGACATGATTTTCTTGGATGGGATCTAATGCAGCCATGTAATTTGCTGGTAACAGACATTATGGATGAGAATAATTGTCTTTTTTCTTTCTTGCCACCATGATAATGCTAATTTGGCTTTTAATTAATTTTTTTGTGGATGGGCATCTTCTTCCATTTCTTTGTTGCACACTTGCACAATAACCCTAAGATGTTCTTGGATGCATTATTGAGTTGATATGTCTCTCTACTTTGTGCATGTGTGAGTACTAGTGTTGTGGATCCCTTCTTTTTGCTCATGTCTCTATCTAGGAGTCCCTATTTTATTCATGTGCTGCCCTTTTAGCTGGCCAAAATCCAAATAAAAGAATCATAAAGAAAGAAATGCTCATGTGCAATGGTAGATGATGCATAGGCCATAGACACAAGTAATCATTATTAGTTCTTTTTTTAAAAAAAATATCTTTTTAGTCATGGAGCCATACAATAAAGCTAGCAAAAGGATAAAGGTTATCTCAAGGTTGGAGAAATGTCAAATGCACATGTTTGGTAGATGTACAAGTCAAGATCAGATCAAAGATTGCAAAAATGCCAAATCTTGTGATCTTCTTTGCTAGACTACATAGCATTGTCCCTAGGATTATGCTATGTGTACCCCAAGATTTGTACCCCAATTTGTACCCCGCAGTTTTGCACCAACATTTTGTGTTGGTGTAAAATTAATTTTTGTTAATCGCACCAACATTTGTGTCCGTGTGAATTTTTAATAACGCACCAACACTTGTGTCGGTGTAAACCATCGAAATATTTGTGCAAACCTGTGGTGTACAAATGGGGTATATTTGTTGGTGTAAGTGTAGCATGGTCCTTCTCCCTATGAAGCTCCCATATCTGGTTCTTTTGTCAACCCCTAGGCCTAGCTTGAAAAAACTGTTGAACTGTTCTTTTCTGCATCCCAGATCTGTCATTAATTTTCTAAATCTTGTCTTAATAATTATATTTTGTATTAATTATTACTGTGCATGTGGGTGTGTTTGGGAGCATCATCTCATGCATAAAGGATATGAACCTTTGATTAAGTGACACCTTTTTGAGTCAATGGTCTTTATTATGCTTGAATCTGGAGGGCCCAGATGAATGGACGTCATTTATCGGTGGGCGTTGCGCATTTGACAATGCAAGGAGTGTCAACGGGGTAATACTCAAATTCAATTCATGTCAGCTGCGCTAAGATCAACTATGCTAAGCATATGATTTTTGCAAGTACCATGTGTAGGCTCCACTCTTTTTCATCAGTATGCAATCAAAGTTTAATTTACCTCATCTCAGTGATCGTCTGACTTTCTCTCAATAACTGTCCGGCCGGGTTTGAAGGGCCCTCTGGGATGGGACTCATCCTTTTATGAATGGACATCATTTCATGGTTAAGAGCATTAGAAATGGGTTTGAAGCCCGCTTCAAATCGGAGTTTCAAATACTCTCTGCCACAACAACTTTATTCCACATTTAACCTACACCAGAGTTTCACTGGAAATACCAGATATCAAACTGGATTTTCAAATCTTTTTTTATTTTTTAATATACATTTTATAGAAGTAAAGTAATAAGATTTCATTCATTAATTAAATTTAAGCTGCAATAATCATTAAATAAAAAAATACATCAATAAAAAAAGTACCATAAATTTAAAAACAAAAAATTACATTAATAAAAAATACTAAAGCATACGGAGTATTATGTTTATTGTTTTTTTTCTTGTAGTACATTTTTTTGAATTTCATTTAGGTATCAAGGTCTATTTTCATTATTTCAAGCTTCTCATTCTCTATTCTCCATTTCTCTCTTTCTTCTTCCAAACAGGGATGCACATTTGTTTCTTTTTACGTATCAAAGTCTATTTCCATTATTTCAAGCTTCTTATTCTCTATTCTCCATTTCTCCCCTTCTTCTTCCAAACGGGGTTGCACAATTGTTTCTTTTTCAGTTAACAACTTAAAATTTTATACAAATCAATGTGGATTTTCCCTTGGATTTTCTACAAATCAATGTGGTTGCTTGCCGCTGAATATCGGCATTGTTCATCTTACCTTTCCTCAATCGGGCACATCCCCCGTACACTTTGATAAATTTGCGGATTTTTTTGTTTATGTAGCCCCATTTGAAAGTGAGGTTGTCTCGGCTTTAGTAGGAGGGGTTCTTGTACATTGCGGAAAAGAACTTTTCCTCAATACGATCTCACATCGCATCCCTCGTTTGATCAGAACTTTTAAAAAGAACATATACAATATATGTATAAAAAAGAGCATATATAAAATATGTATTAAAAAAAGAACATATAAAAATTACCAAAGACAGGATGCTCTGAGACGTTGACCCACGCAGATGTCAACAAAACTTCTTCCTCTAGTGTCCATTTCTGAATTGATCAGGCCATCTCGGTCACTAACTTTTCGGTCCTCGATTGCGGCCACTGACTCTTCTATCGTGTACTTTTTTTGGTGCACTTGGTTCTGGTTGAGTTTCCAGAATCGAGTTAGGGTTCGCCAAATTCACCGGTTGAGTTCTGATTTGCGTTTTGGGAAATTTCAAAAAATTCCCAAATGTTCGGTAAACCCACATTACATACTCATGAGACTCAAGACCGGAAGGAGAACCGGATGAATGATTCATGATAAAAATTTTAAAAAAATAGTAAAAGATTAAAAATATTATTATAGGAAAGAAGAGAGAAAGTTGAATATTGTGTATGATGTATTTTAAAAAATGAAAGTGAAGTGGATTTATAGGATATTTTTTTAAATGGCACAACTACATTATAACATAATGTCGTTGTTGGAATTGTTTAAGGAAGAACACTGCGAAGCAGTGTTAAAGAAGAACTCGATAGTATAACGAATTGCGTACGAAACGCTTTCAGATCAAAGTTATTTCGAAGTATACGAAACACTTCAATCAGATAAGACGTTAATTAAGAACAAGCACTCGAAAATCTGTGACTCAACCCATACCACGAGACTCTATTTTATAGAGTCGAAAATCCTCATGATCGGACATGAACGTTCGCGTAGATGAACGCGTATGTTCGCGCGAGGAAGAAGAAAGACGCGAGTTTGAACGAAAGGTCTCATGCAGTTTTAGGCTCTATTTCGACGTTATCTTCTTTGTACGAGTCTTTTACCGTTTTGAACTCCGGTCACGAAAATCTTAAGGATTTTCATAAAGAAACAACGTCCGAAATAAAAAATTTCCAAGCTGTTCCGGTACCTCGGCCAGGGGCTCTGCCCCTTGGACCCCGCTACCCGGGGGCTGCCTCCCCGAACCGCTGCTATCCCAGGGGCTGCTGCCCCCAGACCCCTGCAGTGAATTTGTAATATCGTTGAACGAGCGCGCACTCCGCGCCTCCTAACTCGTTTAACAACGTCTATTTAAATTCGTGTCCGATCTAAGTAAATCTAATTACACAAAATAAACCGATGACACTAAAATCACCAACAATTGTTTGAAATGAGATGGGGCTAGCGAATTCACCGTTAGACGCTTGACGCAAAGGGGATGATGGGAGATTAACGCCAATGAGGGCGGTGTTTAACACCCAGATAGCATTAAATGGGCGAAAACACCTCCCGGCGTTATGTTATTTCTAGTGCTTTGACAAGATTTAGTTGAAAACATTATTAACTCATTTTATTTAAATAATGATGTAAAATTTGTATATTTAAAATTAATTATTGAGAGATATACCTACACGAGATTGCAGTATACCGGATTAAAAGATTATAACATTAATTATAATCTTGAGGATGGGTATCGTGAGGATGGGTTGGGAACTGGGCGAGGAAGTAGGAACAACAAACGGGAAGGTTGTTTCATCAAAGGAGATGTCCCTCGTATGAAAAAACGTATGTGTTTCAAGATTGTAAACGTGCCACCCTTTGGTACCATAGGGATAGCCCATGAATACACACTTGATACTTCGTGGGGAAAATTTATTTCTGGGTTTAGGAATAGGATGGACATAACAAAGACAACCAAAAACCCGAAGATGACTCAAATCTTGAGGTTTAGAAGAAAGAACTTCAAGAGGAGATTTCCCCCCGAGGATTTTGGTAGGAGTGCGATTAATTAAGTAGACTGCTGTTTTTACACACTCCCCCCAAAATTCGAGTGGAAGAGACGCTTGAAACATAAGGGATCGGGCCACATTTAGTATATGACGATGTTTTCGTTCTACCCGCCATTTTGTTGTGGGGTACCAACACAAGACGTTTGAATACACACACCCAAATTATCATAATACTCACGCAATGAATAATTGAGAAATTCAGTCATTGTCAGAACGAACAATTTTTATAGTTTTGGAGTATTGGGTGTTGATCATTATGAAAAAACTCCGTAGACAAGAAGTGACCTCACTTTTTGATTTAATCAAATAAACCCAGACAGCCCAAGAAAAATCATCAACAATTGTCAGAAAATAATGTGCCCCAGACGAAATACAAGGCGAATAATGTCCCCACAGATCACAATGAATTAAATAAAAAATAACATCATCTTTATTATCACTAATACGAAATGGGGAACGAGTTTGCTTAGACATAAAACAAATGTCACAAGTCTGCAATTTTTGAACAACAGATTGTGTTTTATTGGTACCAAGAAATGAAAGAACGTCAACGGAAGGATGGCCTAGCCGTTGATGAAGAACAATGGGATCGAGATTGGCTACGAGGGCTGACACAGGAACAGATGCAAAGACATACACGCCATTTTGCAAATCACCCAGTCCAATCACTATCTTCGACGAACGGTCATGTATCACACAACGATGATCATTAAAAGTTACATAACAAGCATTATCACGAATCAAACATCTAACAGAAGTCAAGTGACACTATAAGTTTGGTACGTATAGCACATTACGTAATACCAAACGAGATGACAAATGAACACTTCACTGTTTTGTGGCCTGGACACGAGACCCATCAAGGAGACAGACAGAATGAGGAGAAACATCCTCAACATTGCATAAGTGTAAGATAGAACCTGTCATGTGATGCGAAGCGTCACTATCAATTAACCAATTAGAAGAAGAATTACCGGTGTATGCATGAGAAGCGGACGCCTCTAACATAGACATCAAGCGGGACATTTGATCACTGAGGTTGCCACTCGGGTCAGACACGGATGCATGGACAGCTGCTGAAGGACCGCCGCTACTGCCCTGGACCGGCTGCCCACTGCCGGCAGGGGTGTGAGGGGCGCTGCCGCGCCGAGTAGAGCCACGGCCACTGGACGCCGAGCCCCCTCGACTTGTAGAGCCACTGCCGCGACCCCGCCCTCCACCACAAGCGTACTGTGCTGGAAATCCAATATGCTCAAAACATGTATCCACGCTATGATTGGTATGACCACAATGCGAACAAGACCTGTTTGGAACGAGAGGGCGTTTGTCGGGTCGGGCGGCGAAAGCAACGGAGTCCGTGCGATCGTCCCGAGTGCGAACGATATGACGATGGCGCTCCTCCTGGGTGACCAAAAAATACACATGGTCGAGATCGGGCACCGGTTCAGTGCCTATAATCTGAGAACGAATATTTCCAAACTGTTCATCATCCAATCCAAGCAAGAAGTCCACGGTTTTGTCACGATCAATACGGGCGCGCATGACCCCTGCAACCTCACACCTGCAGCCCCCGGTAAGATCTGAGGAGCCATACAATTGATTCCATAAAGTAATAAATTGGTTGTAGTAGGAAACACCACTTTGACCTTTTTGGCGTAAAGAATTCAGCTCTGACTTTAACGGGTACACACGAGGCCCATTAGAGCAACTATATCGCTTCTTCAAATCATCCCACAACTCATAAGCAATTGAATGAGAAACAATACTAGGTTGGATAGATTCATCAACACTGTTAAAAATCCAACCACAAATAATTTGATGATTAGCACACCATGCAGACAATTCCTGTTCATCAGTAGGTTTGGGAACACCTCCGGATGACAAGAACACAGATTTTCCACGACCACCCAAAGCATTACGGATTGCCTTCTCCCATACATCAAAATTATCACTTTTAAGAAGATATTTTGTCAACGAGTTACCCGGGCCTTCGGAGGGGTGAAGGTAATATATGGAAGAAGGATCATGAATGAGCCGAGTCTTTTTAGGGTTGGAGGCCACGATTTCGCCGGTCATGGGGACGGACGTTGAACACATGAGCTGGCGACGAGATGAAGGCAGCGGTTGATGGCAAACAGACCAGCGACGGAGGAAGGCCAACAGGCTCTAATCTCCGGCGCACCAACAACGAACAGACACCACCGAGCTGACGGCAAACACACCGGATGACACACGAACGAGAACACGAACGTAGGGTTTCGAGACTTTGCCCTAGGATCGCTCTGATACCATGTAGAATTTAGGATGGGTATGGACAACTGGATTGGGCTATAAGACACTTGGGCTGAACCACATTAAAAGATTGAATCCAATCGATTAGTTAGTTTAACTCAAGGGCTTATATACTGGATTATTTTACTCACACGTTTCCGATGTGGGATACTCTTAACAACTTTCGATATAGTTTTTAAAATCAAAGTGTTATTTTTAATTTTATATGAATGTGTAAATAAAATCATTTTAGAAAGCCATGACCTCACGGTTTGATGATGAAACAGACTCCTAACTACCCGGTTTAAACAAGTGGATGGCCTTGTTCCCGCTAATTTCTCACCAGTGACTGGTCAGTGAAGAGAAACGAGTACCCGGGCTGGGATACCATCGGTTTGATCAAGTGTTGAGTGCTTGCCGGTGCAAAAACTACTGGGTGGAACGCCACTTGGATTTGACAGCACAAGTTGGTGATGGGACGAGCCAAATAAGCCCATGTCGCCTATCCTGCAGCACATAGTTCAACCTAACACACGAATGGATACACTAGAATAACATGAGATGGCTTCAATGTATCTGGATAGTATACTCTTTCTCTCTATAAATACTCGTGTAAGCCTTCTCAGTCGAGGAGGCAACTTATAGTGAGAAGGAATACCACCATGTGTTCCCGCTTACAACCCCTGTGATCTTTGTGTTACATTTAGCTTAAGTGAGGAGAGATTTTAAACCATCAAATTGGCATCGACCGTGTGACACTGAGTGCTTTTTTCCAAACAAAAACCATGTATACCAGTCACTTGAACACAACCACCACCACCACCATCACCCTCAATCCCCTAAATCTTGGCCAGATGGAGGACCTATCCTTCCCTCGGGAGGATTCTCGTCATTATCCTCCATCTTCACACCCATAGGAACAAATCCCATAATAACCACCCCGGTCCCTGTTCCTATCCCGTCATGTCCAATGTCGGGGCCAATCCCGAGGGTCACTTTTCCACCAAGTCTAATCCAGCTTCCCACGGACCCACCGTATTCGTAGGCGTTCCAAGGTTTCAGACATATCATGTCCATGTTTCAACAACGTGGCGGGTTATCGCCGTTCATTCCCTGAATGTACCCTCACGCCTTGACTCAGGCACAATTTCAAACTCCGCTAGGTCACCCGTCGCCTTTCCAGCCGAGTATCATCAGCCCACCTTTCCCCACGAACCTAGGTATGATCATATAAAGCTCAATTTACCTCTTTCCAGAATATCGTCCCAACCGGTTTAATTTTGGTCAGTGGGACCTTTGGGATGCGGTTTGTCTTCTTTTCTTTAAACTAAGCAACGCCTTGAGAGAGGATGATGATGATACAAAATGTTAGCAACGGGGCAAGAAAGGACGGTAAGGAAAGTCATGTGTTTCAAAGGATGGGAGGAACAAAGTTTCGAAGACTGAACTTAAAGCCATCCAGATTTGCCTATATGTGGCTTTGGAAGTATAGGTCATAAGACCCCAACAATAGAAGAGACCCACACTTAGAGTGCAATCATGTATCAAATAATAGATGAAAATATATAAATGATCAAAAAGTTTTTATTATTTTAGAATAGTGAATTGTAACAATCTTTTTGAGACAAGAGTAAAAATTACATTTTTAAAACGTAATTTAAAAGTTTTTCAAAAAAAAGTTGACGTGTTATCAAATAAATATAGTAAAAATGAGCGGTGCATCTTCCACACGTGACCCTCATTTTTTTCATCACGTTTAGAATCACAACCCGAGCAGGGTAGCTAATTCCAATACGCCTCCAATGAACTATGGGATCAATACATGTGGTAGGTGTTAACAGTTATATTTGTCCATTTAGTATCAAACAATCTTCACAGCTTTTTTTTTTGGGAAGATCTTTTCTTTTTCTGTTCAAATAAATAATTCTTAATCATCTTTTTAATTACGGAGTGTGCGTGTGTGTATATATAAATATATAATACTCCCTCCGTCCCAAAAAGTTTGTTACGTTTAGAAAAAACTCCGTCCCACAAAGTCCGTTACATTTCTATTAAAAAACCACTTTTACCCCTTACTTTTTCATACCCTACCTATCACATCATACCTTTATTCTAATAATCTACCCATCACATCCTACTTTTACCCATCACATCAAGGGTATTTTTGGAAAGTCAATACCAAAATATCCGTCTCTTAATTTTCCAAAAAGTCAAACCGTCCCATTCTTTTTGGGACGGAGGGAGTATTATATTATACAATAGAACTTTATTCCACCGACTAATTATCTAAAGAACTCTATTCTCAAAAAAAATAGGGAGTATGAAATATGAATCATAAAAATAAGAATATTAAATTAAGGGCAAATTCTTCCGTGAACATAAAACCTATGCTTATTATATGGACATTCGTGCATTTGTAGTAAAAAAGAACTGATTTTTTTCAAAAAAAAAAATAATTCACATGCAAGTTCATAAAAAATGTAAGAAGATCTACATTTTAAATGTGAATTTTGGGGTTACGCAAGCACACTCTACTAAATTAAGAATCAATCCGAAAGACTTCCTTTCATTCATGCGCCTTGGGAGAGTATTTATAGCTTCCAAACACACAGCCATGATTCTCTATTTGTGTGGTTCGATTGAGCTTCTTTAGTAAACTAAGGGTCTGTTTGGGAATATCGTTAGCGATTAGCGTTAGCGTTGTGGATAAATTTTTAACGGTGTAGATTAGTTTGAAAACGCTAACGCTAAACGCTGGCCGTAGATAGCCTTTTTAAAACGCTAACGCTTTTCCCCAAGTTTCTAACCGCTCGTGGTTCGAATATTAGTACGCACCTCATGACCTAGGCGGGTTGACCCGCCCGCCTACCAAATTTATGGATAGTCCACAGGTCTAGGCCCAGTTTGCTTAGGCTATGAGTCGAATACGTTTATTGGATTAATTACATACTCCATCCGTCCCAAAAAGTCTTTCCTATTTCATTTTTTGCGCATCCCATAAAACACTTCTATCGACATCTAAAATGCCTAAAATTTACAACATTTCTTCTTTATTGTGGGTAGAAGTTATTTTGAAAGTTTTTTTTGGCATTCAAGGCGGCATAGAAGTGTTTTTTGAAACAGGAAAGACTTTTTGGGTCGGAGGGAGTAGATATGTATCTTTCAACCCAATATCTTACTATATACAATGCTAAGAGGGCATTGTGAACAGTGTTCCCGCCCATTTTAGAGCTACAGTAAAGGACCGGATGGGGTGGGTGTTTTTGGGCCGAAAATTAGACCACTTTTGGCAGCTATTTTTAGGGTCTAATCCACTAGGTGTGAGGCTCTATAAAGTAAACAAATGAGGCTTTATTGAGCGAAGTGATACATCAACTTTACATCACACTTTACATCAAATCAAGTAATTAAATAGATTTGCACAATCTAAGCATTTAATGTGCTTTCAATTAGTTGATTCCCAAAGATATTCACAAAATCTACACCAAATATTTTATGGAGCCGCATGCTAGAAGTCCAATCAGCATTTATTGCACCTAGAGCCGTCCATATAAACAGTGTAATGGACAGCAATAAATGTGTTGTCCCTATTACAGAATACACACTATAAATAGATTGTAATATTTCAAATTAAATTTTCAAATTCAAATGGAGAGCAATTGAAATTTAGGAAGTTACCTTCCTCGAGCTTCAAGGTTGGAAAATTCTTCTTCTTCCGTGCATTATTTTTGTTCTTCCTTTTAGTGATAAATTTTTATGCTTTTGTCTACAATACTGTTTTCAATATTTTGCAAACTACACAAGGATTGAACATAAAAAGGTTTTTTAAATAAAATGGAAAGAAAAAGAGAGCATGATGACATGATAAAAATAGAGAAAACAAGGCATGGTGATACACATGATCGAACAGGAAGGCAAACCATTTCTTTGAAATTGAGTTTGTACTCATTAGATGAGTAATCTTATGATGAAGAACTACATTTTAACACTGAATGCAAGACATATATACAAATTCAATTCGGTTAGCTACTGAACAGTACATGGGAAATTAATTTTCAATTTCTAATAATTTATAAGAGAATACAGTGATAAAAAAATTATTAGCACTACAAAAAACCATTTATGACTTATTGACATTAGAGATCTAAATCTTGATATGCAAACTTAGTTTTGAAATAATAACATAAGGAGTATTTAAGAAGCTAAAAACAGAAAATGCATGTCAAGCTACAGACTAAAATAAGGGTTAAAGTCAAATAAAAAACATATAGATGACCTTTTAGAGGATTTTTAAGTAAAATTATACAAAAATCTGAAATCCAGATTTAAAAACATATGTGCGAGCAGAGATTTTAATTTACACTCCCATTTATTTGGTCAGAACAATAGATGTTAAACAAGGACTTTTAAATGCAAATTGATACGAATAAAAATTGGAAAACAAAGAAATTTAAACATTGATGCTGAAAAAAATTAGGAGTTTATCGAAATATATGTTAATATGATGTTAAGGAATTATTGGATTTAATGTATTAAACAAGACATCTTATCATTTACAAGTAATAAATGAAAATTAAAATTTTTCCTTCAATAAAACATCAACATTTAGGCTCGAAAATTAAATCAGCAGTTTTTAGAAATTAATGTTATTATGATCAAATGAAAAAATTTGGGGATGAATGAACATCATTTAGAACAACGCATTAAGGAAAAAATTCATAAATTTTTAAAAACGGTTTTCCGTAATTTTAAAAGATTATTTACACTTATAAATCAAATACTTATTATTTATCAATTACAAAAGTTCACATGCATGGTTGTTTTAAACAGATCTAAAATTGAATAACTCTGAATTTTTAAAAAATGCCTTCCAAATTTTGAAATCTGTTAAAAATAAACGGATCTAACAAAAATTCATACCTTAATGAATGGGAGTGTGAACTGAGGAAAAATTTGATCTTAAGTAATAATGAAATAAATATACCAGTGAAGTCCGCGATGATTACCCGGCGATGAGATCCTCCACCTCACGGAACACTCTCTCGCTCTTCTCTCTCTCTCTCACGAGTATATATCTCTCTCTCTCTACGTCTAACATCTGGAAGTACTCTCTCTCTCTCTCTGTGTAAAGGGTCTCTCTCCCTCCCTCTTTGTCTATCTCTCTCTCTATCTACTTCCATCGCCGGCGTTCTCCAAGAGACGAAAAAGGAAGATCTAGAGAGATCGAACAGAAGCGGCGTGTTTGTGTGGCCAAAAGATGGCCACGGTTAGGGTAGGTTTATTTATGTTTAAATGTTGGGATATGCTGGGCTATACCAAATGTGTACCCAAATGTACACCCCTCCCCTTTCTACCATTCATTTTATTTTATTTTTATTTTTTATTTTTTTATTTTTGAATTTTTCTTGCTTTTTTTTGTGGTGATGGAGGGAGTGGGGATGTTTGGGGTACACTTTTGGTGTACCCCTAGCATTTTCCCTTAAATGTTTAATCGGTATTCTGCTGAAGAAATAAAAGCTGTGTGCGTTGGGCCTCCATTGTAATAAATGTTGGGTTCTCCTGGTCATAGGTGTGGGCTTTTAAATTTGGAATGAGACAAAATATTTAAAAATAATGGTCTATGATTTTTATACAAAACAAATTTTTTTTTTACAAAATAACCTTTCTAAACCAATTAAATGATTCGGATTGTAAATTGTTTTTATAAATTAAAATTTATTTTTAAGTTAGTTTATGTATTTCATAATTAAAAAAGGAATTGGCAGTTGGTTGACCCCATGTTACAAGTGCAAGACTATTCAAGACTCAGATTTTATGGAAGACTGTTGGAAATGCTTTGATGCACATGGTCATCTTACATGTTTACAAATTGGTGGTGTGGGATGGGGATTATTTTTCGTTTGCGATCATTGTGTGATTCCGACACCACCTATACCCACACCACTTTTACTACGACGATCTGAACAAGTTAAAATTCCAAACAAAAAGTATTTCAATGATCTTTATGTCCTTTATTAAAATTATCAATTTCTTCTTAAGATATTTAATGTTACCGCTTTTGAAATGTATGATTCTCTAATGTTGGAAGAAATTAAAAAGCTCCCCATGTGTAATCCATCCGACATGTTTTTTGGAATGAAGCTAAGGATGTAACTATTTGTATGTCTATTATGATTATGACCAAGATTAGTTTTTGTTATGAAGTTACAAATTCCAAACATTACCTATCAATTCTATGTGTTACTACTCTATTCTTTTTTATTCTTAGCTATTAAAGTGAAATATCATAAATATGCACTTCAAAGAAGTGTTCCAAAACTTATGACACGGCATGTCGACTATGGTCCTTAATGTACACTACCTTATTTTGGGCAATTTTAATAAATATTGTTATTTTTTTTACTACGGTCCTTAATGTACACTACCTTTTTAACATTATATGTTATTTCAAACCAAAACAAATATTACGTTATTTTATTGTCCGTGCATCGCACGGGTACGAGTCTAGTACACATCAATATACACGCACGGGTTATCCAAATGATCGACAAAAATCTTAAACGTCAATACAACTTTTATAAAATTTCCATGTTACTCCCTATGCCCATCTGTCCAAAATACACATTCAATTTGGTTGTTTAAAAATCAAATCGGACTAACTTCGATCAATAATTAAATAATAAAAAATATTCTTAATTTGATCATTTGATAAATGAAAATAGTGTTACGGTGTATTAATTTTGATCAATAATTAATTGAAAATAATATTATATACGAAGCATAATACTTTGTTAATAGAAGCATTTGATAAAAACATCTTGTACCACGATAATTTTACAAAATTGTTAAAGAAAAAAATCTAACTAGGACAAAAATATGCTTTAATATATCACACTATCGTTTTTTATATATAGAAAAAGAGTTATAAAGCCAAAGAGTGTTATTATGGAGTGTTACATATTTAATTCCAAAAAAACACCTTAATTTAAAATACTAATGTATAATGTCAAGTTCTCGCATTGCACAGTGCCAACACTCATTTAGAGAATTAAAAAACATAGACAATCCTATTTTGATGTAACTTTAATGCTTAATCTTAGGTATATTTTTTATCACTTGAAAAGTTTGATGAGTGAAATAGAATGAGATAAAAGGTGAAAGAGAGAGCTGAAGGAAGATGGATTTCTTCTTTTTCTTATTCTGTTTTTCCTCCTCCCGAATAATGGAGCAAGACTCCTACATATATGGGTGCACCAGATGGCAGCCTACCACTCAATAGTTGCCACCTGTTTCTCACCTATTAATTATATGCTAGGGACACGACAATAATAGGAAACTTCCTAGCAAAAGGGCTGGCGCAGCAGCAGGCAAAAAACTAGTAGAAAAGGACAAAAATAATACAGCTAATAGAAGATAAAAGAGGACAGTGCAGCAATTAGAATAAAAGCATATTTATTTCTCTCAATACTCCCCCTCAAGCTGGGAGTGGAGGTGCAACAAGAACTCCTAGCTTGAAGAGTAGGTCATTGTGTTGTTTGACGGGCAGTTGCTTAGTGAATACATCTGCAAGTTGGTTCTTTGTGGAGATGTATTCTGCTTTGATTGCGCCTGATGCTTGTTTCTCTCTGATAAAATGGCAATCAATTTCAACATGCTTCATGCGTTCATGATGGACTGGATTGGCTGCAATTGATAGAGCTGCTTTATTGTCACATTTGAGAATAGTTGGACCAAGATTCTGCATCCCTAGCTCCTTGAGCAGTTGATTGAGCCACAAAACTTCACATGTGGTTAGGGCCATGGATCTATATTCTGCCTCTGCAGATGATCTAGCAACCACAGATTGCTTCTTTGATTTCCAAGACACTGGTGAGTTACCCAACAAAATGCAATAGCCTGTTGTAGACTTTCTTGTAAAGGGGCAGCCAGCCCAATCACTGTCACAATAGGCCGTTAAGGTTGCACCAGAGCTTGAGGCTAGAAGAATGCCCTGTGATGGTGAGCTCTTAAGGTATCTTAGGACCCTTCAGGCTGCCTGCATGTGCACAGATGTTGGCTTGTGCATAAATTGACTCGGAAGATGGACAGTATATGATATATCTGGTCTAGTAATGGTAAGGTAGATCAGCTTTCCTACAAGCTGCTGGTCCAGGATTGGATATTGGCTCCCCAACATCAATATGAAGTTTGACATTAGGGTCCATAGGTAACTTCAGAGGTTTTGAGCTTCTCATCCCATATTCCTTTAAGAGATCTGTCACATATTTGTGTTGAGAGAGAAAGATTCCATTCTGTGATCTGTCCACTTCTATACCCAAGAAGTATCTCAGGTGACCAAGGTCTTTCATTAAGAACTAAGATGCTAGAAAATTTTTGGATTCAGAAATGGTTTGGGAGTCATTCCCTGCTATTATTAAGTCATCAACATAGACCAAAATAACCGTGTGATTATCACCATCATGTCTAAGGAATAGAGAGTAATCACTCTTGGATTGATTAAATCCAAAGGATTTGAGGGCAGAGGATAATTTTGCAAACCATTGCCTTGGTGCTTGCTTAAGGCCATAAAGAGATTTTTGAAGTTTACAGACTTTGGTTGGGTTCTGCTGGCAGTAATTAAAAGAAGCATTTCCATTGGCTGAAATTGGATTCCCAGGGCCAGCATAACCATTAGGGAGTTTCATATACACAGTTTCTTCTAGATCTCCATGCAAGAAGGCATTTTTTACATCCATTTGGTGGATCTGCCAGTCTGCTAGAGCTGCCACTGCTAAGAGAGATCTAACAGTGGTTAGCTTTGCCACAGGAGCAAACGTTTGCTCATAGTCAATGCCATATTCCTGCTTATTTCCTAGGATCACCAATCGTGCTTTATATCGTTCAATTTTTCCATCAGGGAGGTACTTGGTTTTGTACAACCATTTACTGCCAATGGCTTTCTTTCCCGGTGGTAGATCAGTTATGAGCCAGGTTTGATTTTCTTCCAAGGCCGATAGCTCTTCATTCATTGCTTGAACCCAGTGAGGTTGTCTACTAGCTTCTGCAAAGGTGACAGGATCTCTGATGTTAACAAGACTGGTCATGAAGCAACTGAATTGAGGGTTTACTGATGTAGATGTGAGATTGGTTATAGGAGTAACGTAATCACTCATCCATTGAGGGCGATGAGAGTGCCTTACTGATCTCCGTAGAGGTAGTGGTGTGGTTGGGTTATTTTGAGTATGTAGGGGTGAGTCTGTTTGAAGTGGAGTAGGGGGGTTAGGTGTTCGGTTTGGATTGAGATTTGTTTCCTCCTCTTCTTCATCTTCAAACGATGAGTCTTCCCAGGTGGAGGCTGGCTGTATGGTATGTTCATTTGATGGAGGAATCAAATGAGTGATCTGATTTTTGTCAAGAGTGTACGGATAAACTTGTTCAAACCACTTTACATCTGGACACAAAAACCTGGTTGGTGAGCAGATTTAAAAGTCTGTATCCTTTCTGGTAGGCAGGGTACCCTAGAAATATGCAAGGCACCCCTCTAGGATTGAATTTATCCGCATTCACTGTAGGGTTATAAGCAAGGGCCAAGCATCCAAACGCTCTCATCTGATGATAAGTAGGTTTTTTGTTGTAGAGCATTTCAAATGGAGTTTTGTGTTCCAGGACATGTGAGGGGAGTCTGTTTATGATATATGCTGCAGTTAGCACACAGTCTCCCCAATAGGTCTTAGGGAGGCCTGTTTGAAACCTCAAGCATCTAGCCACTTCTAGCACATTTCTATGCTTCCTTTCTGCTCTTCCATTTTGTTGTGCCCTATCAACACATGTTGTCTGATGCACAATCTCATGGTTCTCATACAGTTGCCTACACTGAGCATCACCAAATTCTAGTGCGTTGTCAGACCTCACAATCCTTACTTTCTTGTCAAATTGTGTACTAGCTACCTTGATAAACTTAGCCAGTGCCTCAAATGATTCTGATTTGTACCTTAGCAGTGTCACCCATGTGGTTCTAGTGTGATCATCAACAATAGTCAAGAAGAACCTATGATTTCCTCTTGTTGGAACCCTATAAGGTCCCCAAACATCAATGTGCAACAATTCAAATGGATATTTTGCATGTGACTTGCTATTAGGAAAGGGCTTCTTGGTTAGCTTTCCCATTGGACAAGTTACACACATCCTTTCAACATTGATATCATTTTTATCCCATACTCCAATTTGATTCAGCTTGCTCATGGGGGCATGTCCTAATCTCAAGTGCCAAATCAAAGTTTCACTCATCTTTTCTGTTTCCACATAACCATGCCTGATTTTTGCAGAACTAGTGTTTGCTGACCCTACACTTCTGCCTGAGTTTCGCTCTGCATGTTTTAGACTTCTCACAACTGATTTTATGTCTTCATTCAACAGATAGTATAGACCATTTCTTGACTCTCCAATTCCCTTTACTTTTTGAGTGACATTGTCAACTATGACACAATATCCTGCATAGAAGTCTACCTTGCAATCTTCAGAGCTCACAAGTTTATTAACTGACAGCAGATTATGTTTAAACTCAGGAACTACTAAAACCTTCTTAAGGTTTAGTCCATTTTTCAGCTTTACACCACCACAGTGAGTGATATCAGAGGTATTACCGTTAGGTAGATTTATTTTCAATCTATTCCCAACAGCTACAACATTCTCAATATGACTTATGTCTCCAGTCATATGGTCAGAAGCTCCAGAGTCAATTATCCAATCAACATTTTCAGCATTTACACACAAGCATGAGACCATACCTGCGAAGCCAGCAAAGCTAGAATCGAGTTCATCTTCAGTGTCTGAACCTGCCACGGTTGATCTAGGTTTGTTATGCAGGTTCCTCAGCAGATGCTCCAATTGTTGGACTGTGATTTCTCCATTGTCCCCTAGGCTGCTTCCTCCTTGTGCATTGGCAGCAACTTTCTGAGAACCATACTTTTTATTTTTGAACCATCCAGTATTGGAGTTAGTGTTTTTTCCAGACCCAACACTAGTACCAACACTAGAACCTGTGCCTCCTTCCCTGCTTTTATAAAGAGCTTTGTGTTTTGGATGCCATTTAGGATAGCCTATAACTGTCCAACATCTCTCCCTTGGATGTCCTTTCACCCCACAAGCTGAGCACGTCTCTGGGTCAGTTGCTCCCTTGCTATACATGGCAGAGGACTCCAAGGGAGCCTTCATAGGATTGAGCACACATCTTTGTGACTCTTCTTGTTGAAGTGAACTACAAGCAAACTCTACTGAAGGAAGAGTTGTCATCATGAGCAGTTGACTCCTTTGAGGTCCATAAACTTCATCCACTCCATTGAGAAATTGAAACAATCTTTTCTCTTCCTTCTGTTTTTCCAAGGCTTCTAAGAATCTTGTCACATCCTCTCCAACAGTAGTAATGGTGGGCAACTGGTCTAAAGACTCCAGTTCCTCCCACATGCCCCTCATGGCAGTATAATAATCATTGATGGTTGCACCTCCTTGCTTGAAGCTATAGAGTTCTCTGTTGAGTTTATATTTAAGGGAGCCATTTGAGACAGAGTATCTGCTCTCCAGATACATCCAGATCTCCCTAGCTGTGAGCATATACATGATGGTCTGTTTGATAGAGTCTGAAACAGACCCCATAATCCATCCTATCACAGTGTCGTTGCATGTATCCCAGAGTTCTGCCTTTGCTGTGTCAGCTTGTTCCTTCACAAAACTTCCCTTCACAAAGCCAAGTTTTCTTTTTGAGGAAAGTGCTATCTCCATGGATCTTCTCCATCTCCTGTAATTACTCACACCAGTGAGTTTTTCAACACTTACTGTGTTAGGCCCATCTGAGCCATGAAGGTACAAGGGGTTTTGAGGGTTCATCCTTTCCATTGAAGATACAGGATAGGAGAAACCCTAGTTTTCGGAAGATTTTAATGCAGCTCTCTCTTTCAGGGCTCTGATACCATGATGAGTGAAATAGAATGAGATAAAAGGTGAAAGAGAGAGCTGAAGGAAGATGGATTTCTTCTTTTTCTTATTCTGTTTTTCCTCCTCCCGAATAATGGAGCAAGACTCCTACATATATGGGTGCACCAGATGGCAGCCTACCACTCAATAGTTGCCACCTGTTTCTCACCTATTAATTATATGCTAGGGACACGACAATAATAGGAAACTTCCTAGCAAAAGGGCTGGCGCAGCAGCAGGCAAAAAACTAGTAGAAAAGGACAAAAATAATACAACTAATAGAAGATAAAAGAGGACAGTGCAGCAATTAGAATAAAAGCATATTTATTTCTCTCAATAAAGTTAGATCTTGTTTCAAAAAGGGAAAAAAAATTTATTTAGAAATTGATGTTCCACCCTATATTCTGTTATGGACCTTTTCTAAATTTCTCGTTTGGTTCACAAAAAATTTATTTAAAACTCACTATGATCAAATTGGGCTTTTATCATAACTCCTAACATGCGTAGACAAAATTTGGCAGGCCTAACTAGCGGTTATTCATAGCAAGTCAACAATCTAGTTGAATCTCATAAGAATAAGGTTTGAGAAAAGTGTGGGTACACACACATTAGCCCTCTAAAGTAGGAAGACTATTTCCAAGGTTCATCACATCTCCTATGAAATCATTTCAATGAATATGTAACGTTTCGAGTCTTGAAGCTCAACGGCATACTATTAGGAGGTATGTCGTTGAGCTTCAAGAATCAAGAGGTTACATATTCATTGAGGATTGATACTTCCTCTCTCTCATGATGTACAAACAAAATTATTAAAAATCAAAGTAGCATTGAAGTCTGATAAAATTGAAACACACAATCTAATTTGGGATGGGGAAGTATATGAATAAAATTATAGTTCCCCAAGGTGATTATGAATCATATAGTAACACAGTTCAAGTCAAAGGGAATCTAAGTGAAGGAAATATTTGTCATCATCAATTGAAAAATGCATACAGGCTATAAAACTGCACTTAGAGACTTAAATCACAGCAGCACACAATAACAAAAACACAAAACCCTCAAAACTAAAACAGCTAGCAGAAGTCGAATTGGATGAAAATAGTTCGACGTTTCAAAACACACACGCTTTCCAGTTCATAAAAACTCACACTGGATGTAGATGCGGAAACCTGGGCGTTGCACCTAACGTGCCAATTTAAAGTAAAGAATCAATGCGATTGCAATCAATAATACTGTAACGATTAATCCGATGATCCATTTATTCCTGCTCATCCTTCTTGACATGTTAGTCAGTATCTTCTTGCTCCTGCTAATGTTGTCGTCCACTCCGTGGAGCTGTAAAAAAGGTAAAAAGAAAAATTAAGTTTCACACAACCCAAAGGTGGGTCCAGATACTCTGCAGTAAATCCACATTGGAGTGAATCGAGTGATGCCCCGGTTGATTATGGAGTGGCTCTTCTAATCTTCGGAATCAATCTGGACCGTCCATTTTGCAAGCTACTCCGCGATGGAGTTGCTACGGAGTATCCATTTCGTTGAGAAAGATTGGAATTTGGAGGAAAGTAGTGCCCCTTTTACTCCCTCCGCCTCTAAATAATCTTCCCATGTATTTGCATGGTCAAACTATATTCTGTTTCTTTACTTATTTCCATGGATTATTTGATAAAATAACAAGAAATGTCCGTAGATAGGAGTAAAATGACATGAAAATACTAAAATAAGAGTAGCATAATTTTAATTTCCTAAATAGGACTGCGATGGCAGTGTGATGGCAACGTGTTTGTGGCAGTGTGGTGTCAAGGTGGAGGTGTGGTGGCAGTGATGACAATGTGGACGACCAGTCAACGGTGGTAAAAAACGATGATTGGCAATGGCAGCCCGGCGACCACCCACAACAGTGCTCCAACGGATGGCCGATGGTGGTGCTCTTGTGACTTCATGGGAATGCTCTGGTGACCTTAGACAGCGGCAGATGGCGGTGTGGCCGTGTGGCGATAGAAAATGGTAGTGTGGCGGCAAAAGATGGTAGTGTGGCATTGCATGCGAGAATGTGATAGTGGTTGACAATGGCAGTGTGGGCTCCTTTTTAGGTCTTAAAAGACAAGGACTCTTATTTCACACCATTTTTCTCTTATTTAGGGAGTTCTCCCTAAAATAAAAGTGTTGTCATAACCTGTTTTGAAGTAGTTTTAAATATATATATATATACTGTGTTAATTTTATTTTTAGTCTTACACCAATATTTATATAAATTGAATTGAAAATATTTTCAATCAAATATTGTAATTAGAAACGGGAAGATTATTTAGGAACGGGGGAGTTTTAGTTTTATATAGAAACAAAGATGCTAGAATTTAGACATAGGTGATTATTGGACTTACTGTGTTATGAGCATGCAGAAGGGACTGGCGCTGCTGGTGCAAATCTTGAAGAATTGAAACCCCGAGCTCTTCAGTTTCGAACATCATTTTTCGGCCTTCTCTAATCCTGTCACTAGACTGATTTAATCTCTCAGTTGACATCATCAGTCTTTGCCTTTGATCAGTTGATACCTATAAATAAATAATTGTATTTAAGAGCCTTCAAATTATGAAAAGCTTGAGTGCCAGCAAAAAAAGATTATGTCTGGAAGTTGGGTCAAACTAATATACGAAGTACTCCGTACTTTTGAATAGAAACATAACCTCTCCTCCACTTTTCCTTCTCCTCCAAGCCCATTCAAAACTCAATTCACACACAAAGCCAAAGAGATTTCATGCCATCCTCTCAATCCCATCAGTAGAGAAAACCTTATCCCGTGATGGAAGGAAGCAGCATGGCTTCGATAAATAGGTCAGTTTGGTATTGTTGCAACAACATGTGGAACTGTGATGTAAAAGAAAATATCCTTCGTGCTTTATGACATAAAGTGATGTGAATGCAGTGGTGCTTAGTAATGAGGTGCAATCAAACTGCTACGACTAAACTACTACTCCATAAATGACCCAGAACGAGGTACAATAAATGAAATGTTTTAGTTTGAAAGCATTTCTTGATATTTGTGACTTTATACTGTTTCAAAGTTGTAGCCTCCAAGATAAAACACCTTATTTTTCTACCAAACCAGCTATTGAAAAAAAGGGAGTGTGGCATAAAAACCAAAACTGGCCCTAAAACCACACGAGATTGTCATAGAAGTGATTAACTTACTCCGTATAAATAACTAGTTGTGGCTTCAAGCCATACATAAACGCTAACAACACTGTCTCCGTAACTAATACCATTCTTTCTTAAGTCAGAAGTACTCTGGATTGTCATAAAATCGAATGGTTGGTAACAAGGTGACATGTGGGGATTAAACAAGGCACATCATAGAGCAAAGAACTTGAACAAGTTGGGATTCAATTTATTCCCATAATATTTTTTTAGGTATGTTTGTTGTCTTGAAACAGTTTTCTTGTAGTGTTTCAAGGAAATGAACACAAGACATAGATGGATAACATCATGAATAGAGACAAGTGGATACCACGTTACCACCTTAGCATCTGCCATTCCAGATTCCAACAAATCATCCCTTGCTGCTTGATTAGCATTAGCTGATGTAATTCTTTTAACTTCACTTTTCAAATTGTTCAGATCATTTTTATATTCTCTCAACTTCAGAAGGAGTTGGCCCTTTACATTTGGTTGTAAACTCCTAGCCTCGAGATCCATTTTGCGAATCTGCAGAGCAGAAATATGAAGCTAGCATCATTTATGTAGATTTAAAATACATTCTCTACATTACCAAAGCTTTGCACCTATTAAATGATTAAAATACATTCTCTACATTACCAAAGCTTCAGCATCTTCCAGACCAGATCTCACTTCTGAAATTTTCTGCTTCTTTTGTTCTTCAAACATGCACGGAAAGGACAATCACAGTTATACAAAATAACCAAGCAAACGGAAAATTAATACTCCCTATTAAACAAATAACAACACCAGTTTGTGGTTGACCTATTCTTATGGGATTAGGAAAATGATAGTTTGCACTTGACCTATTCTTATGGCATCAGGAGAGTGACAGTTTGTGGCTGACCTACTTTTGTGGGATCAGAAGATAGATTTAGTCAAGGGTGCTTATTTTATGTGGCTCTTATTTAATTAGTTTATATAATAATTTAATTAGTTCCAGGTTTTTAGCTAAGGTTGGTTGTTACATGTAGCCTATTTATAGGCTTAGTTGTTCTACTTTTTTATTCATCAGTTTTTGCTATCAGTAATAAAAAGAGTATTATTCATTCCTTCAATTATCAATCTTTCTCCAGATTTTAGTTTGCTCATCTTTTCTTTTTTCAACAAGTGGTATCAGAGCCATTCATTTGTGAGAGATCACATATTATAGCTGTGTGAGAATTCTTGTTGTCAACAAAATGACGGACCTACAAGTTGTCAATGGTATGAAGAAGCTCAACAATAACAATTATAATATGTGGTCAACGTGCATGATGTCTTACATGCAAGGGCAAGACCTGTGGGAGATAGTCAACGGTAATGAGGTGGTTCAACCCATTGAGGATGCAAATGGATCCTTACAGAAATGGAAGATCAAGGCAGGAAAAGCATTGTTTGCCTTGAAAACAACAGTTGAAGAAGAGATCCTTGAGCACATCAGAGATGCTGGAACACCAAACGAAGCTTGGGTTTCACTAGCCAGGTTATTTTCAAAGAAGAATAATTCCAAGCTCCAACTTTTGGAGAGTGAGTTACTCTCTGTTTCACAACGTGAAATGACGGTTGCACAGTTTTTTCACAAGGTGAAAACGTTGTGTCGGGAGATTTCTGAGTTAGATCCAGAAGCCGCCATCAAAGATGCCAGGATAAGACGCATCATCATCCATGGTCTCAAACCTGAATATAGAGGTTTTGTTGCTGCTATACAAGGATGGCCAGAACAACCATCACTTGTTGAATTTGAAAATCTGTTAGCTGATCAAGAGGCGTTAGCTAAACAGATGGGAGGAGTCTCGCTAAAGAAAGAAGAAGAGGCACTCTACGTTAACAGAGGAAGACATAATTCAAAGCAGCATACTGGTGGATCTAAGAAAAGTGATGAAGAGACGAGGGACCGTCAAAATGAAAGGAAAAGCCGTGGAGGTGGAGCTTGGAAAAATCAAAAACAAGGAAGAATGTTTGAAGGAATGTGTTTTAATTGCAACAAAAAGGGACACATGGCAAAAGACTGTTGGTCAAAGAAGAAGACTGTAGAAGGCAATACCGCCACTTCTACAGTAGAGGAAGAGTGGGATGCTGAGGCATTCTTTGCTGCCGATGAAGCTGAGGTGGCATTGTCTGCCACAACAAGTCAGATTGACTATGGAAGTGACTGGATTGTTGATTCAGGTTGCTCGAATCACATGACCGGTGACGAAAAGAAGTTGGAGAATTTAGCAGATTACAAGGGAAATCGTGTGGTGGTAACCGCAGATAACTCAAGGTTACCGATAGCACACATCGGTAACGCTACAGTATCTCCTCAGTCTGGTGGTAAAGAATTATCACTAGAAAAGGTCTATCATGTCCCAGGTATGAAGAAAAATCTCCTCTCGGTTTCACAATTAACCTCTTCTGGCCATTATGTCTTATTTGGTCCACAAGATGTAAAAGTGTACCGAGACCTAGAGATTAATGAAGAACCAGTGCTGAAGGGGCAACGTCTAGAGTCCGTCTATGTGATGTCTGCTGAAACTGCATACGTAGACAAGACGAGAAGGAATGAGACCGCTGACTTGTGGCATATGAGGCTCGGTCACATTAGCTATTTTAAGCTAGATGTGATGATGCGGAAGTCAATGTTGAAGGGACTTCCTCAACTTGAAGTGAGAACTGACACTGTATGTGCGGGGTGTCAATATGGAAAAGCACATCAGTTGCCATTTGAAGATTCCAAGTCCAGAGCAAAGAAACCACTAGAGCTGATACATTCTGATGTGTTTGGGCCAGTCAAACAGGCTTCCATTAGTGGAATGAAGTACATGGTGACGTTCATTGATGACTTCTCAAGGTATGTGTGGGTTTATTTTATGATGAACAAATCTGAGGCTCTATCAAAGTTCAAAATATTCAAGAAGGAAGCAAAAGCTCAGATTGGTAATAATGTTCATTGCTTACGCACTGACAATGGGGGAGAATATACCTCTGATGAGTTCTCAGATTTTCTTCTAGAATGTAAGATACGCCAACAATTCACATGTTCTGGCACACCTCAGCAAAACGGAGTTGCAGAGAGGAAGAATCGACACCTTGCAGAAATATGTCGCAGTATGCTCCATGCAAAGAATGTCCCTGGACAGTTTTGGGCTGAGTCAATGAAGACTGCAGCATTTGTGATCAACAGACTTCCCCAACAGAGGTTAGGTTTCATTTCACCTTTTGAGAAAATATGGAATATGAAACCTGCAGTTGGTCATTTTCGAGTGTTTGGGTGTGTATGCTATGTCTTTATACCTGATCACTTACGGGGAAAGATGGAAAAGAAAGCTGTGAGATGCATTTTTGTAGGCTATGACAACCAAAGAAAAGGGTGGCGATGTTGTGATCCAGTAACCAGGAAGTGTCACACATCTCGAAATGTGGTATTTGACGAAGCTTCTTCATGGTGGTCTTCAGACAAAGAAGTCCTCCCTGATTCAGGCAACTTCAAAGAGTTATTTGAGTCCCCGGTTCATCTAGATCTAAAGGCAGGGGAGATTGAAGAAGAGAGTGGATCTAGCGAAGCTGATGGAAATCAGAATTCTAGGCAAAGAGGTGTGTATCAACCAGAAGGCAATGAAGACGAGTCCAACGAAACAAATATGCCACCTCCACCTAGAAGGTCAACAAGAATAAAGAAGGCAAATCCCAGGTATGCCAATGCTGCTATCGTAGAGGAACCGGTGTTTGAAGAGCCAAAGACATATGAGGAGGCATCTCAAAGCCCTGAGTGGATTAAAGCCATGGAAGAAGAGATTGGTGCACTAGAGCAAAACCAAACTTGGGAGCTTGTACCCAAACCGACAGATGTCAGACCTATTTCTTGCAAATGGGTTTATAAGATTAAGAGTCACACAGATGGCTCAATTGAACGATACAAGGCTCGCCTAGTTGCTCGTGGGTTTTCTCAACAATACGAATTGGACTATGATGAGACATTTAGTCCAGTGGCTAAGCTTACAACTGCCCGAGTCTTACTTGCACTTGCAGCAAGTAAAGATTGGCGTCTTTGGCAGATGGATGTGAAGAATGCATTTTTGCATGGCGAGCTTGATCGGGTGATTTTTATGTGCCAACCANCAAGGGTGCTTATTTTATGTGGCTCTTATTTAATTAGTTTATATAATAATTTAATTAGTTCCAGGTTTTTAGCTAAGGTTGGTTGTTACATGTAGCCTATTTATAGGCTTAGTTGTTCTACTTTTTTATTCATCAGTTTTTGCTATCAGTAATAAAAAGAGTATTATTCATTCCTTCAATTATCAATCTTTCTCCAGATTTTAGTTTGCTCATCTTTTCTTTTTTCAACACTCCCTCCATGCCTACTTTAAACTTCACATTTCCTTTTTCCTTTTGTCCCAAAACAATCTTCCATTTCCGATTAAAGAAAGGAATATGTAGCTCACAACATCTCTTTCTTTTAAGCAAATTCCAACTACATACTTTTCAATTTACTCGACAGAAGGGATAATAAATAATAATAGGTGATCTTAATAAAAGGAAAACCATAAATTGCAACATAGGTCTGAATCATGATGGGGGCTTAGAGTAGGTACTAGACACACATTTATTAATCTGTGAGTGGACTAGTTTCAGAAATACATTTCCTGGTTCACATACAGATTAAACAAGGGATAATACAGTACAATGCTGAAATCAATGACTAAGTTATCTCAGAATCTTATTCAAATCTCATACACATGACTAGATAAACGATTACCTTCGCATTGAAGTAAACTAACCCCAAAAAGAAACCATTTTTATATAAATTGCAGGAAAAATGGAAACCAATTTCGCACCTCCATTGAGACCACTAGCTGTGGTGCACTTCTTAGACAAGTTAGAAGAAAGCTCGCAGTATTGCCGCTCATATCCTTCGAAAACCTGGCTCATTCTGCCTCACCAAATACACAAAATTACTACCACAGACCACCAAAAGTTCCAAAATAAAATCAAAATCCAATTAGTAATTCTCAAGGCTATTTAACTTCTCCGATTCTGTGTAAAATAACTTAGATCATAGGAAACCAGAATCGAAAAGAAGAAAGCGAAGAGCTCACGAAATCAGTAAATTCTGGAATGAAAATTGACCGGGGAAAGGAGCGGATCGGAAGGACTACCTTGAAATGATCAGAGGATCAAAGTCCGGCGGAAGATCGACCGTAGAAGATGAGATTTCGTCGGGCTCCAATGCTATAGAGCTCGGAAACTTTTACAAGCTGTCTGGATGTATACTGTAGTTCAGGTGGTATAACTGGATTTTCACGCCACGTTACACGACGGGAAAAACAAGTCCAATTTAAGGCTCCGTTTGTTAGTAGAATTTTTTTTTTCTGGAAAAAAATCATTTCTATTGAACCCACCATTCAAATGGAGGTGATTTAAACGATCAATCATGGAAGACAAACAATCTTGCACGTCGAATGTATGAAGGAAAGCAAACAAAATCACAAAAGAAAGAATTATAACGTTTGACCGTCAACAGAGACAACCTAGATAGTTACCTCGGCGAGGCCACCCGATCAGGTTTTTAGATTTGAAGAGAAAGATCTAGCAACCTCAACCATTGCATGAGAATGGTCGATCGCCCATAATTCGTTGGTGAGTTTTACTTCCTTTTTCAAACCATTTTTCAAATTTCATTCGCCAAATCCCTACTCCTCTACTACATAAAGACCACATCCCTTGCCCAACTCTCTACAGCTCTTCTCTCGAATCTTATTCAAGCTAAAGCTCTCTCAATACTCTCTCAATGTGTGCACTTTGTATTTAAAGTGTAACATCCCCACCGACGAACCTGAAAATATGAGTTAGCGAATCGAGTTACTATTAATCTAGCATTCAAACACATTATATTTTCCAAGCAATTTTAAACATCCAAACAAATCCCATTTAGAAATTCATCACCAGAGTAAAACCAAACAATGCCGAAGCTTAAGTATTTAAAACAAACAATTTGGGACTTGCGCCTGAAAATGTAATAAGTCAACCAGTAATAGATATTAAATCAAAGTCATCAATTATGTGGATTCAATTATGTTGATTAGCCCGCTCTTATTATTGGATTCAATGTTGGGTCAATCCATAACGTTGTCGATTCAAATAAGTGTTGGATCAAAAGGGGTAACTCATTTTGGGACGAATGGTGTATTTATTTTTTCATTTTTTATATTTCTTTATTTAGGCATACTTTCAACTTTTTGAAAAAAGAATTTTGTTACATTTTAAAAGCATAAACTAGATACTTTTGTAATCATTCTGATTTATATCGCAATCGATATTGAATACCCTGAACCATACCAAATCAATATTTCAGGATCGAGATCGGTATGACATAAATCTCATACCGAACCAAAATATTTGGTACAATATATTGGACGAACAAAATTACTACAACCTAGGACCCTAGCTGTGTTACTTTATCGAACTTGTTTGCAATTTGAATTTTAAGTTATTTTTAAAATTATAAAATACCAAAATATAAATACTTCCTTTGTCCCGTAAAATTTTTCAGCCTTCACATCTTACATGTCCTATAAAATATTTCAATTTGGTTTAAATGGACACAATTGTCATTACTAATTTTAAATTTAACCGAACCTACCTCAACTACCTTCTACGCCCTACACGGTTTGACATTTTCGAGACCTAATCGTTTCAATTATTGTCGTTTTGGTCAAATTTCTACAATTTCACTTCTCAAAAGTCAAAATAAGAAATGTTTTACGAGACAGATGTATAATAAAGCTACTAGCTATCATTCACGAGCATAATACTAGTAAAAGTTTGAAAGTATATTATGAAACATATGCAACAAAAACAAATAAATCGACCAACCAAATATATATTTAATTAAAAGTTTAGGGTGTAAAACTAACTGAATCGAACTACATTTTACTTTTGGTTTTGTTTCTAATTTTTAGTTAATACAAAATTAGAAAACCACTTGTCTTACATCATGGTAAATATTTTAGAATCAAATCAAAACTCATACCAATGTATGACAGAAAAACCTTAGTTTAACCCCTAGAGATGACTGATGACCAATATAACTATGAACTACATTACTGTTATATACTTCCTCCTCCGCTCTTGAAAACATTTTCGCCATAATTTTTTGCACACCTCATAAAAAATTTTTGATCTACCTAAAATGTCTAAAATACCCCAAAAACAAATTCTACCTGCAATAAACTACATAATGGGATGTATTTTAGACATTTTAGGTGGAAGTAAAAGTATTTTACGGAGAACGTAAAAAGGAGGACGGAAGTATTTTCAAGAACGGAGAGAGAATATACGTAATTTATCACTGAGTATCGACCATCTTGTTGTTGTCGCCCGCCTCGCCGGTGCCGAGGATTCGCCTACGGAAGTCGGAAACCATGAGAGGAAGCCCGTCACGGAGGGAGACGGTCGGCTCCCAGCCAAGAAGTTGTTTGGCCCTTGTGATGTCTGGCTTTCTCTTGTGAGGGTCATCCTCTGTGTTCTCCCTGAACTCTATCTTTGCATTGGGGTCAATTGTGTCTTGTACAACCTGTGTCCATTTTTTATTTGTCACAAAATAATTCTCTCTTTTTTGTATCTTTTTTTAAGAAAAAGAATATATATCTTTTTTTATGGAGAAAAGGTTGTTTGATTTAATTTTAAAATATTTTTGTTTCTTTCTCAACAAATTCTTAATCACCCATATTTTATTAGTCTAAATCTTTTTAGCACTTTTTTAGTTACTAGGAACATTGAGAGAAATTTTACCTTAGCCAATTCAAGCATGGTAAATTCACCAGGGTTGCCAAGATTGAATGGGCCAACATGGTCACCTTCCATCAATCTCATCAGCCCTTCCACCTGTTTAATTGATCACTTTATTTGATGAGTAATTATGTTTTTTCAAAGCTAAACCCTCAATTTGTTGGTAAAAGAACCTTAAACACTTTCAGGTAGTTTTTGACAACTAGCATTTCATTTCAATTCATGCATTTCAATTCTAAAATTTAAAATCTTGAAATTCAAATGACAAGGGGAGGAGCATGGATTTCAAATTAAGTTTTGTTTTGAATGAGAAAAAATTTGACTTAAATCTAAATTCAAATTTTTTAAGTTTCCCAAACATGAGATTTGAGCCAAATCCGGATTTGAAATCCAAATCCATGTTCCCAAACATACCATCAATTAATTAAGATTGACGGTTCCTTTACACACAAAAAATGGCGGACGTGCACAAACTTGGGCTGACCCGTCTAGCTGCCTATCCCGCCTTTAAAAAATGGCAGTAATAGACAACTATATGAGTATATCTAGATTGGGTTGGCCCGATCTGCAAGATATTACGAATGGGCTTGAGTATTGGGTTTGGCCTGCAAGCCCGCCCACATTATATAAATGTGTATGTGTGTGTGTGTGTCTATACACACAAACATACTCTATATTATACAAATATGTATGGTTGGCCCACCCAAATATATGGACGAGAATTTGACATCAAGCCCGACCCAGATTCGGCCCAGATTCATGTTTGTGCAGGTCTATTTTATACTCCGTATAAGTCTACTCTTAAATCTTGAATCTTTATGTCTACTCTGTCCATTTTCTAAGAACTTCACGGTTTGACTTTTTGCTTAACTATAAATATATTTTTAACCAATAGTAAATAGTAGAATTTAAATAACTCTATGTTATATAAATTTTATATATTAAAAGTTATATCTTAAAATAAATTCAATTGTATTAAATTTATATAATAATTAAATATACTACTTATCCAATAGAGCTAAAAAAATGAGCAAAATCCATAAAAGGGTCCCAGTTATAGTTCGTTTTACATATTTAGTCCCTACATATCAAATATCAATAAGTTAGTCCCCAATTATTATAATATTTTTTCCACGAATGGTCCTTTGTTAACATTCTTGTTAAAAAAACATGGATAAAATTGTAAATTTATGCTCATCTCTCTCCTCAATTAAGTTTTCTCTCTCCTCTTGCAACTTTTTTCCCAAACCCGTCGTTGAGTTTGAAGCTTTGAACGAACCCGAAATCGGAATCATCACCCCTCTCTTAATTGTTCATCTTCTTGGTGGTATCTAAAATCGAAACCAGTAACCATCATAGACGAGTTTTAAGGTTTACTTCATTTGCAATTTTCTGAGATTAACTCATAAAACTCATCCATGTAGGTTAATGGTTTCCATTTCGGGTTCCACGAGGAAGATGAACAATTGAGAGAGAAATGATCGTTTCGATTTTAGGTTTTGAGTTCCAAACTCAACGACGGATTTGTGAATTAGTACGAGAGGAGGGAGGAAACTTAATTAAAGATATAGATAAGTGTAATAATTTTATCCATATGTTTAACGAAAATGTTAATAAAAGACTTTTTTTGGAAAACAAAACAATAATTGGGGGCTAAATTATTGATATTTGATATGTATGGACTAAATATGTAAAATGATCTATAACTGAGGACCTTTTATGGAATTTATACAAAAAAATTTCATAATTTATAGCCAGAATTTTTAAAATTTAACTAAAATTTAAACTGTGAAGTTCTTTTTGGAGACAAAGTTCGAGAACATAACTTTTAAGTGTGGAGTTTATTAAAAAGGTGTTTGGGAGTGATTAATTTGTAGTTAAGTGATTTTCAGAAAAGCTGAAAGCAGAAGAACCATACGTCGATCCGTTTTTTCGAAACGGTCTTCTATGTACAAAATGATAGTAAAGAAAAACAGAAATTGGTATGCCAAACAGAATAAAATGATTACCACTTAAAGGAGAATCTAAATTCTAACAAACAAAGCTCTGACTAACGCCCTCTAAGTCTAGAGAAAGAATATCATAAAATGTTAAGATAACTACCATACGTACACCGTGCCCTGCTAGGATCAAAACATAAGCTTTATTTCCCAAATAGGATTATTATATTTTTATCCTAAAATTAAACTATTATATTGCGACAATATAATGTACGTATTCATTTTTTGTATTGAATATTAACATTCTACATTTCTTATTGTATTATATACTCGGTATTATGGTATAATTGTCATTATAGCTCATTTTTTTATAGATAGAAACATAAAATTTCTATCTTTTTTTCTTTAAATGTTATATGAATCGGATCTTACCAAATCAGAAACATACTGAAAACTCCTTGTCTGCTTCCCATCTCCATATACAGTTAATGGTTCCTTTCTTAATGCCTGCACAAATATTTATTAATCACCGGACATATATGTTGAAATTATTATTTATTCAAAAAATAACGTTCTATTAAGATCTGAGGTAGAATTATTTATTTATCACTCCGCTTGGAATGTGACATTGTGGGTTTTTTTCCACATATAATCTCTGAGTAGGAAGTATACAAAAAATAAATGTCCAAAATCTTGTGATCAAAATTTATGTAAATGAAAGAATTAGAAAATAATACTCCCTATGAATCATATTCTCCCTAATTAATTTCATTAAAAATAAATTCTCTTACTTTCTTTTGAGCATTCCGAAAATGAAAAAAGAAATTTATTTTCGGGCGTCCGAGTGAATGGGTAGAATTCATAATAAGTTGGATTTGGGAGCCTACCTGAGCAACGAAATTGCTGACGACTCGACCATCGTCGAGACACATACGTGGCCCGTATGTGTTAAATATCCTCGCAATTCTAACCTGAAATAATAATAATAATAATAATAATAAATCATGTAGTATCTCTCTATAGAAAAAAAACACTTTCCATTTTTGATGTCCCAAAAAACATTTCACACTCAAAAACAGATTTCTAATTTGTAAACATTTTTATTTCTCACTTCAGAACCAACGTTATAAATTATGAAATAAAGAATGAATGATTTATTTAGTTGAATAATGAAATCAGACCTCAATATTGTGTCCCCGGTGGTAGTCCATTGTCAATGTTTCTGCAGTTCGTTTCCCCTCATCATAACAACTCCGAACACCTGCATGCATGCATGTAAACGTACTAGTTTAATTTCTCATTTTTAGAACCTAAATTCCGTAAATAAACTTCCCATTTTCTTTTTTTGTTCGTTCACAAATAAATTTTTCATTTCCTTTTTTATTTTTACACTAAAAAGACTTAATTATTACCCCCAATCATCAACCATCCATATTCTTCTCTCCTTATAATTCCATTTCTTCTTTTTCCCAGTTTCCCTTTTGATTCACCCACTCCCCCTTCTCTTTTCTTCGTTCTTTTCTTCTCCAGCATCTTCTTTTTATTTATTTATTCCCCCCTTCAAAGCCTCCGTTACTCCTAGCCTCACCTCTTGCCGTCAAAACCTCAAAGGAAAGAGATTATTCATCCTCTTTCGGGTTGTCTTCAACAAGAAGATATACAAAACAGATCTACGAGGGTGGGGGTTACGGAATGGATGACGGAAACTGGTCGAATGAAGATCCCCCCCCTGCGGCCGCATTCTTGGTGGCAGTAGCACCATAAATACCGGATTCTACAGCCGGGCGGACTGGGAGTTCAATCTCCGGTCAAGAATGGATGGGGACATGTGGGGAACTAGTCTTGCCAATGGGTGGAGAGGGTGCATGGGTATAATAGTAAGTCAAAGCAATTTTTATCACACATGAATTAATATGCGTGCCCGGTCAAACTGGGAAGTTTAATTTTGGACGTACGGAGGGAGTATTTTTTTTATAACAAAAACACTTGAAATCTGAAAAAGTTTCACCAAAGTACCTGAAACCGGTTTCCAAACTACAATCAAATCACTTTCAACCTAATTCCAATTTTGTATTCCTAATTTTTTAATTTTTATAAGAGAGACTAAGGAAAAAATGCAGGGTCAAAATTAAAAATTAGAAATATAGTCTAGGAGTATAAAATTACAATTATGCCCAAAATTACGTTGTACCTCCGTAGTAACATCGAAATCGATTCCAGGTACTTTATTGAGATATCTTCAAAGTTCAAGTATTTTGCGAGAAGAAATAAAATTTAAATACAAATATGATACTCGTAAGTCGTTCAAAATTCGAGTACCATCAGTGAAATTTACCCATAAATAACGTACCAATGGGGTTAACATTACCCCAGTAAGTCTCAGACTGGGGGTGCTGCAAAGGGTCGCCATAGACTTCACTTGTGCTGGTGAGTAGAAACCGAGCTCCAACTCTTTTTGCCAGTCCCAACATGTTTAATGTTCCCATCACATTTGTCTTGTGATCATCCACCATTATTCAGTCAAGGAAAAAATAAACCAACAGGAGTCTTTTTTTGATGACGTGATAATTAAGATCTATCAAAATTTCACCCCAGATTTTTTACAGACAAACTAAATAAATATATTGCAACAGATGAGAGAGAGTGAATATAAAGTTTTGCATAAAACCTTTGAGGATTTACAATGACGACCCGACCCTCATAATTAGGGCCCTTCCCGATCGAGAAATCAGGGACCTAACACAACATAGAAAAAATGGACTTTTGTGTCATAAGAAAGTAAAGTCTATGAATTGATTTTTTCACAACAATTAACATTATGATAGTAAGGATAATAAAATGTCAAATTCATATCATATACTCCGATTAGTCTGATATAGAAAAAAAACACTAATATCACAAATAATCCTAAATAATATAATAAAGTGTTTTCCTGAAATTGATGATAAATAATGAAATATGGTGTAGTAGTGTAAATAAAGGAAATAATGAAGGATATGATGGTCTTGACAGGGTTAAACTTGTAATAGACAGGGGATGCAGGGCAAGCCAAGTGGTAGATTTGGTCAACCTCCAACATGATGGGCTCGACGACGTCGTGTCGGATGAGTTCGAACCTGGGGTTTCTCAGGTGCTGCAACAGGTTCTCCTTCTGACCGGTAAAAAAATTGTCGATCACAATTACATTGTCGCCCCTGGCCATTAGCCGGTCGACCAAATGGCTCCCCACGAAACCGGCCCCTCCGGTTACCAGTATCCTCATCCCCTTGCTCTTTATCCCCACTAGAACCTTCCCACCTGGTCATAAATTTTAGATTAAGCTATTTGTACCTTAAAACTTATAATTCAAATTGTACACAACAAGTGCACATCTTTATTTTGTTCGGTGTGATGTTAGAATGATTGTTTATATAAGCACAAAATGTTAGGTTAATTTTTTTAATCGCACTAGCATTTTTAATGTAACCAGGGGCGGAGCTAGGATCTAGGGTTAGTGGGTGCGCTATACCAGGAGGTCGTGAGTCGTGCCCCGAATATTTATTTAAAAAGATAATACGGAATATAAAACAATAAAAAAATTAATGAATTTTATGTCAAACTAACATTCATATAATTCAAATGTAAGTATTTTAAGAAACATTATGTACTCTGTACCATTTCTTCATCAAAACTATTAATTTAAAAAAACAAGTGTTGGTTTGAGCATAATCCTCATATCAATTTAATAAAAAACAAAAAAGTATTTAAAATAACACCAAATTAGTAGAGAAAAGATCATATTATCAATTGATATACTTGCTATTTAAAAAATTTCAAGTAGAACATACGGCCTCTACCCCTCTGATCTGTTTCACCTCTCTACTTCATATGTATGTGTGTGTATGTGTGTGTGTATTAAAAAATAAAAATTGGAGCGACTGGAATTGCAGTCAATAATTGCTCCTCTTTGGCTTCGCCACTAGATGTAACTTTGGGTACATTTCTTGGTGTAAGTATATATAGCATGATTGTAAATTTTAAAGTTCAGAATATTTAGTTTTCACACTCTTTTCGTTTTGTTTTGGTTTCAGTTTCGTAGTATTTCGTTTGTTCAAAAATAAGGTTTCTAGTTACTATAGATTTATAGATTAAACAAATTTTACTTTATTTATACACTTTTATTGACCATTTCATAAAATAAAATTTTTTGTTACTATCAAATCAATAACTACCGAAAACAAAGAGAGGAAAATGTCAAACTCTGAAGAGTAAAGAGAAAATCTTTTACTCCCTTCGTTTCTAAGAACCTGTTTGGTGAATTTTGGAGATATGATAAGATATTGATTATGAAATTTGGGAGAAATGATATGGGTTTTGAAATCTGAAATGAAATTGTTTGGAGAGATTCAAAATCATGATTTCATTTGTGATAAGCGAGGGTGAACGGCAATGGAGGTGGTTGGCGGTAACAATGGTAGCCGGTGATAGATAATGATCAATATTACAGAGAGATATCAATAATTTTATTTATAAATTGGTAAAGAAATAATTAAAAATAGAAATTTTATACTCCGTATTTGAAAACTACATCAAAAACTCTAAAAATTAAGAGGTGACATGGATGTTTTATTTTATCAAATAATCAATGAAACATCCAAACAAATACTCCCTCCGTCCCGAAATAGATTACAATATTCTCTCACATTTTTGTCCCAAAAAGAATTACAAAGTCAATAACTTTACAAGGAATTGACTCTTTTACTCTCCCACTCTTACACTATTCACATACTATTCATCCATGTGAGTGGGCCACTTGGGGATAATTTGGGGAAAAAAATTTGATTTGACTCTTTCTTAATTTTAATAAAAAGAGAATATTGTAATCTAAAGTGGGACGGAGGGAGTAAGAGTTATCGAGAAAAAGTGATAGTAAACATGTAATTCTTTTAGGGATGGAAGGAGTATTTTATAGGAGACATAAATAAAATTGTGTACGCGTGACTTTTCACGAAAATGTCCGTCCCACGAAAATGTTGTACGCGTGACTTTTCACGAACATAAATAAAATTGTGTTGTTAAAAGTATTCCCGAAAAATATAATTTGGGTCTAAAAGTTTTATTTAAAAAAAAGAAAGTATAATTGGATGCCTGCTTTGACGTGGTAGCCGGTCTGATGAAGCGCCTCATACATGACCCTCCGAGGAATGATCGGAGACTCGATCCCGCCGGCGGCCGGGGAAGACGACGAGCGGAAAGCGAATGCCACGGCCGACAATCCGACCCCGAAGAGGAGGCAGAGGACGCGCTGCTCCCTGAGAACGTAATGTGCGGCGGAGCACAGCGTGGGACGCGCCGGCCGCCTCTGCTGCCGGCGGTGCGCTGTGGGGATTATCATGTCATCCGCCATTATTTATGAATTAAAATCTATATAAGTATATATAGAGAGAGTTTTGAGAGAGTTTGATATAAATATATTGAAAGAAGAAGAAGAAGAAGAATATAATTGGGATCAATTCCGGTTTTGGAGATAGAAATGAAATTAAAGATTTCTTTTTTCTCACTTTTTTTTTGGTTTGTAAAAGATATGGATGAGATGGAAGAGGAGGAATGGGTGCTTTTGCATGAATTTTGGGAGTCAAGAAGAGCGAATTTAGAATAAGGAATGCGTGGTCTCATTGAAGATTGTCATATTCTCATTTTAAAATTTACATCTCAAATATGTTTCTTTTTATATATTTTTGGGCATAGTAGGAGTAGACTAAAATTGAGTATCTCATTTGTACACTAGACAAACATAGACGCTTATACTCCGTTTCGTTTAACTTATTTTTTTTGATCTGATCTGACTTTTTATAGTTCTGATCCGATCTGGTCTGATTAGATTTGATCTGATATCATTGTATCTGATCTGAACTGATTTGATTGAATTTGATTTAATATGATCTGATCTGATTGGATCTGATCTGATTAAATCTGATCCGATCTGATTAATTATGACTTGATTTAAAATTCAAATCAATAATTTTATCTGACCTTATAATAACCTTTGAAAATTGTAATGATAATTCATATTATGATATAATCAATATTTTTTATTTTGTGATCATTTTTTACTGAAATAAAATTAGTTAATTCATATATTAGAATATTCATTCATATTTTAATGTAATTATATAGTGCAAAAATAGTTTTTCATTCATATTTTATAATGTAATTACTTTAGAAACTCAAATTACAAGTAACAATAAAAATGTATTTTAAAGGTAGAATTAGATTGACATTGTCAATGTATTTTAAAAATAATGTTTCCGACGTCTAATAATTAAGGATTACTTTCTCAGTTTTCTATTTAACTTGTAGCTAAATTTTATTCTTTTTCATTTTTAAGAAAAAAATTGTGCTTCATATCATTTTATTTTTCTCTACATAAATTATAATCGCACAAAAGTTTCATTTTCTTTCTTCTTATATTTTATCAAGAGAAATTAAATTTATTTTTTGAAAAAAATATGTAAAGTGAAACAAGTAAAAAGTATGGAATTTAAAAAGCATGGAGTAATGACGATAATGATAACGACGACGACGATGATGATTATAATATAATAATAATAATAATAATAATAATTACTACTAATAATAATAATATTAATTCTTGATTGGATCTAATTTGATCTGGTTTGATCTAATTGGATGTGATTTGATCTGATTGGATGTGATCTGATCTGATGAGATCTGACCTGATCTCATTAGATATCATCTGGTCTGATCTAATCTGATTTTAATAAGAATAAAAAAAAGGAGAAAAATAAGTTGAATGGAACGGAGTCTTAATTGGTGTCTGTGATTCACAAACACTAGGTGTTTGTGTTTATCTGTGTACAAATAGGATACCCATTTTGGTGTACTCCTAGGTTTATTCATATTTTTTCATCTCAAATCATTTACTACATTTTGAGCAACGTATAAAATATCATGTCTTTTAAAATAATTTTATTTATTAGAAACTGGTAGACAAATAAAAAGTAGAAATTACAATGTTCAAAAGTCTCTCAAAAGTTCTACATGCAACAAAAATATTTTATTTTATCAAATAGTTATCGAAAACGAGTAAACAAACAAAAAGGTATCGAGATGCCGAAATAGTAACTATGACATTTTCTTTGGACAGGTAGAGTATTTAATAAGGACCTATAATTGGATCTTTTAATTTTTTTTCAAAGCCTTATACATATAATTATTTCTTGTATTAAGATACATAAAATGTGTATAATGTACGGACCATAAGAAAATTTGCTATGACTAATAAATGGGCAAGGATCCTTTTACATTTGTTTTTAATGTTACATGAGACACTTATGATACTCCATTCGTAATGTTCCACCTAAAACGTCTCCAGGCCCCAACCCAGCCCTTTACCACTTCCTTTCCGAATTGTAGAATTGATATCGTTTCAAGGTAACCAAAGCGTTATAAATATTCTCTTTCCCCTCATATTTGAGTATAAAGAGTTATTCTAATAAAGTTCTGACTCCGTTCTAATGTATCTGTTCAAAAATTATTTCATTAAATTTTTCTTGTTCAGATCTTTCAAAATTTTATTTTATTGTATTAATATGCAATTGAAATTACAATTAATTAAAACTCAAAATTTGTTCAGTTTAACTTCAAAAAAGTCAATCTATGAAATACACTAGGACAGAGGCAATATTACTTACTCCCTCTGTCCCCTAGTTTTTGTCCACTTTTGACTTTTGAAACTGTTCATCTAAGCACTTTGACTCATCAAATTCTCTAAATGTGTAAGCCTAAATATAGTCATGTGTGATCTTGTTTGATTTGTATTAACATATAGATTATTAATATATAATTTCTATAATTTTTTAATATACAAATTACAAGATAAAATGGATTAAAGAACTGCATTGGATGATGTGTAAAAATGAAAATGGATAAATACTCTGGGACGGAGAAAATATAAACGGAATGGTTCTTTGACATTGAAACCCGAGTCATAACATGACATGAGGTTCGATTGGGGGCAATGCAGGTTACAATACTTTATTCAAAAAATTGACGGTTTCTATCTCACCCCTAAATCCTCCCACCCCGAGTAGAACAGAAGCCTCAACCTCCTTCAATTGCACCACCCAATTTTAGTTGACTCTGAGTTTAAAAAAATTGACCTTAAAATCAACTAATATTAGGTGATACCCTCCACCTTACCCCACTTACCCACCCCTGGCCACCCATACTGCCGTCCAACCACACCCCCTCTCCCATTATTCCAGAAGACCAGAATCGACAAGAGCAAAACTTAGTGACAAAATTGATCAAACTTCCAGAAATTTTCCCCAACCTCAAAATTTCAGAATTCTCGCAGGCGACCTTTAAGAGGAAGAAGAAAAACCGAAGATGACTTGAAGAGGAAGAAGAAGAACTTTCGTTGATGCTGAGTTGCTTCACAGATCTGAATCAAACCCAGATCTGAAGCGAATTGCTTAGATCTAACAGAGATTTGAATGATCTGATGAATCTAAAGGGGGGGAGGAGGAAACGAAAGAAGAATAAGAGAAGTAAAAAAGAAAGAAAACTCCGTCGGTCGAGCAGAGTAAAAGGGGGAGGTAAGAAGAAAATAAAGAGGAAGAAAAGTAGAGAACAATAAAAAAAAATAGAGAAGAAGAAGAAGAAAAGAAAGATTCAGCTAGAGAGAAGAAAAAAGGAGAGAAGGTGCTGGAGAGAAAAAGAATGTAAGGAAGAGAAGAAGAAAAAGAAATTGGGGGGAGGGTGGCTGCGATTCTGCACAGGGAAAGAAAGAGAAAGAAAAAGATAAAGAGGAATAGGGAGTGGAGGGTATTTTAGTCATTTTAACAAGAAAAAGTTTCCTAAATTAGAAACGGGAACATTAATTGTCCACGTACTGAAACGGAAAGCGAGAACTTTAATTTTGGACGCAGGGAGTACAATTGAAGGCGTTAGGGCGTCGGTTTCGGCCGAGGTTGGGGGCTTATCCTCAAGAAAATTTTAGCTTTTTTATTTAATTTCATATAATTAGTTATTTAAAATTGAAAATATTTGTTATTGCATTAAAAAATTATTTAAAATTTTATTACTCAAATCTTGTAAAAGTTCATTTTTTTTGGTTTTTGGGCCCGAGCCTAAGAAATTAGGAACGGCCTGCTCAAAGGATCTCACGGAGCATAACAAAACAGGCCCTCAAACCCATCGATTCGTCTATTTCGTCAATCATCAGTCAGCTTTACTCAGTGTCAGAAGAAGAAGAAGAAGAAAATGGCGACACCGGCGTTAGCGGCTCAGCAACTCTTTAGCATCGGCACTAAGATAGTCGCCGTCGGCCGCAACTATGTCGCTCACGCCAAAGAGCTCGGCAACGCCGTTCCTAAGGTCCTTCTCTGTCGATCTATCTGCATTGCTAATCCATATCTACACACACACACACACACACACATATCTGTGTGTCGATCTATCAGCATTGCTAATCCATATCTATATATGTGTGTGTGTGGATCGTTTTTTTTTTTGTTTTCTGTTTTCCTTCTCTTAATCGACGCTTTGTGTGTGTAATTTCTGGCTCACCTGTAGGAGCCGGTGCTGTTTTTGAAGCCGACGAGTTCTTATTTGGAAAATGGAGGGACGATCGAGGTGCCGCATCCGTTGGAGTCGCTGCATCATGAGGTGGAGCTGGCGGTGTTGATTGGGAAAAAAGCCAGGGATGTGCCGGAGGCCACAGCCATGGACTACGTTGGAGGTAATTCCTTGACGAAATGTGAAACTCTGCTAATTAATGGAGTTTCTGTGTTTAGGTTATTGGATTTGAGTGACATTTGGCTATTTAATCTCCTAGTAACTCAGTTTCCTTTTCACTCTTTGCTTGATGATCCCCACTACACTCTTGAGGGTACATTCTCTTAGGTTATGCCATTTGAGTTTCCTTAACCAAACAGGGCGACCAATGCGCTGGTTTTGGAATATTGTTGCAGTGGATGCATGATTGCTACCTATTTAGTTAGTTTCAAATTCCATACTGAGTTTTGAAATGTCTAAGGTCACTAGTTTGTTTTATGCTGGGCACAGATATTTTCTTGTTTGAAATATGTTAGTTTTCACATTTTCTCTTCCTCCAAACTAAAAATGGAAAGCATAAGACCTTCAGTATAAATTAATACTCTGATCTGTCACTTCATAAATTGTGCTTCACATACAATTATGTGAAATTTGCACTGAATAGGACTAAAACATAAGTTATTTCCCAATGTAGGACTTAAACTTTTTTATTCCCTAAATAAGACTTAATAATGACTAGTGAGAAGAATAATGTCCAAATGATGCTGGACATTTAGTTGAATAATGACTAATAGATAATGACCAATGGTCCTACATTGGGAAATAAAAACATATGGTCCTATATTGAGAAAGTCATTATGTTTTAGTCTTATTTAGGTAAATTACCCGGGACAATGTCTTACACACACTCTCACCGGACCCTACTTTTGTGGGATCCAATTGGGTTGTTGTGTCTATAGAAATGCAACAAGAAATATTTTATTGGGATCTCTTCATTTTTAATGTTCCATGCTTTTTAATTCTTGGCTGGTGTTATGTGGACATGTGGTTCTCTTGTTGAATGTCAAACCAATTAGTTGTATACAGTATGTTGACCTATGCTCATAATGACATTCATGTTTCATGATTTGCGCGCTGATTTTACAATACCAAGAGGGTAGTTCATGTTATATACATGACTATAACAAAGTACCTAGTATCTCAACCCATTGATGTCTCATGGTCAAGTGAAAATAACTTATGATGATTCCGGTGTAGATTTTTATCCCATTATCACAGTTTCTTCAAAAGAAGGATGAACAGGAAGGACATCAAGGGTATAAATTTTTACCATGCTTTTTGCATGAATTTTTAGCGTCAAAGTGTAAATTAATTTTAGAAAATTAATTGACAGAATAACTTTTACACCACCTACCGTAACTATTTGGGATGAAGGGGATGATGATGATGAACAATGATGATATTTTTTCATATTGCATATGGAATCAAATGGATTGATTAAAGTTCTGCATGTTAGGTTATGGTCTTGCGCTGGATATGACTGCAAGGGAGATTCAATCTGCTGCAAAGGTATGCTGTTTTTTCATCTTCCAATTTGCAATAGTGCCTCTAATGGTGTGCTGCCATTTTTGAAATGCCTGTTATTCTCTATTGTGTTGTCTACCCAAGTTTTATGTTGCATTTACCATCCATTACATCCTCTCAGTACTTCTTTGAATTACACATATCTTCCAGTCTTATCTTTTCAGCTCCTGCCTTTTCTTATGTAGCCTCATCAATCCAACTTGAATGGTTTGATGTTTCCTGTCATTTAATCATTTTATGCATATGATTATATCACCTGTTTTACATGCCAGTCTGCAGGTTTGCCATGGACTGTAGCTAAAGGCCAAGACACATTCACTCCAATCAGTGCATTTGTAAGAATACTTTCACTTTATTACTTTCATTCTCTATATTCATCAAAGATCTGATTGACTGATTCTAAGCAGTCAAATTTGTTGTGTAGGATGCCGTTTTGAGGACACGGATTTATCTTAAGAAGTTCTTTAGAGTGTCAGTGCGTCTCTGGGACATTAACTACTTTTGACAAAATATTCTGCAAATCCAACTGAGATTGAGATTTTTCATGCATTTACCTTAAGAAGTTGACAATGAATTACAATGAAGTGCATAAACATATACATTATTAAAGCAAATTAAGAAACTTGCTGGTGCTGTGGCCTTTTATTTGCTTTTTAGTGTATTTTAACCCCCTCTGTGACTGTCCCACAAAAAGTTTTCACATTGGAACCAACATGAATATTAAAAATAATGTGATAGTGTGGTTGAGATCTACGGAGAAAAGATAAAAATAATATGAACCGCTCAATTCTTTTCTCAAAAGGTAAGTGAAACCAATAAAGAGAAGTAGAACCTCATTTGCGGGACATGAGTACGTTTTAGTAAAATTTGTGTTATCACTGTCACTTATCTTGGAAACATCATATTAGGATGGTAGATTTCTTGTAGGGGTATGGGTTCCATGCATGCATGTTTTTTCCATTCTCACAATGCGGGTCACTATTTGTTGGTTTTCTTATGGAACCTACCTTCACTCATTTGGAGTAGAGGTGAGGTGTGCACACACCTTCCCGTTCAGACCATATTGTTGAGTGGATTTACTGTGTTTGGTTTGGTTTAGTTTAGTTAATAATCAAAGACCTATTTCATACAGCTTCCACAGTCAATGGTGCCAGATCCCCATGATTTGGAGTTGTGGTTAAAGGTACACAATAACTGCTAGTTCTCTGCGTTTCATGCACATATATTTGTGCTTTGTGTTCATTCAAGATCAAAGGCTAATCTATGTGTCACCTTACCACTACTTTACAGGTTGACGGAGAGATACGACAAGAAGGCTCTACACGGGACATGATATTCAAGATTCCATACTTGATCAGCCACATAAGCTCTATCATGACACTTCTTGAGGGCGACATCATCTTAACTGGTATGAAAATTTGAATCTTACTTTATTCTATATATGACCAAACATGAGAAGTCCACGAGAACTCATTTGCACTCACACAAGAATTCCAAAGGTGATGTTGGTTTATACCAAATGATGCAATCTGTATGAGTTCATTGATGTGATGTTTATTTCTTTTGTTTGGGCAGGAACTCCTAAAGGTGTTGGCCCAGTGAACGTGGGACAAAAGATAGAAGCCGGGATAAGGGGTCTCCTGGACGTTCACTTTGATGTAGGAAAACGCCAGAGGGCAACATCATAATAATATGGTATGTTCATCATATGCATGTAGTTTACCAGCATTTGAATCTATAACGAGACGTGATTTTAAAGACAAGCATCATTAAATTATATTTGTATCAAATGTTTGAAGAACATGCATTTGGACGTTTTCGAAACCATAGTTATTCAGGCTTCGTTGTTTGCAATAAGATCATAATGAAGAAAGTTCAGAACTTCTTAATGAAGTTGTAGATTAGGTTGTTGACCTCCTCGGGTGCTTCTTGGTTGATGTAATGAGCCACGCCTTTAAGTACAACGATGTCTTCCAGCAGTGGGACCACCTCCTTGAACCCGCCATTGTGTATGTACTCTTTTGCCCCTGGAATATTATAAGCCAAGTCTTCTTCTCCCACCATAAATATGGTTGGCACCATCACTTTTGCGTCAGACCATGGTGCACTCAGCTCCCAGTCCCTGCATTTTAAGCCCCATTCACTCAGACTTATACTCATTTGTACTCGATTTAGTCCCCCGACCATACACTATTACTCAAATTGGTAATGTTCTTTTTTTAAGACATTCAATTTGGTCATTTACTATACCGTTTTGACACAATCAAATCCCCATACATGATTAGGCCATTCGAGCGCACTGCAGTCCTAAATGGACTAAAATACCTTTCCTAAGTTTGAGCCAACTGTACAACTCTGTTGAATCCCACGAGCGTAGGGTCTGGGGGGGACATCCCTACCCGAAAGTAGAGCTGTTTCTAGGAGACTCATAGCAATTTGAGCCAATTATCTATGAGCTAAATTCAGTCCATACTACATAACTAAAATCCCAACTAGTTTCAGTATAAGAAATAATGGAATGGAGGGTGACAAGGTGAAGAGAAAGAAGGGATTACTCACAGTTTAAGAGCTCGGTAGTAGTTGATCCCCCCGGTGAAGCCAGTCTTCTCAAACTGAGCCGCATAGTAATCCAAATCTTCTTCCGACAACCAAGAAGGAAGAGGAGTGGCGGTCGAACCATCTGTATTAGCACTAAACCCTTTACCTTTAGGGAAGTAAAATGGCCCTCGTTTGCGGAACGCCATGAAGTTTTTCATACATTCCTTCACCCCGATAGGGGCCAACTCTGCTTCAATCTCCCCTGCTTCCTATACAGCTCCCAGTTTTGTTAGAAACTCAGTTAATACACCAATTGCTCATCATTCCAAATCCCAATTGTGTAGGGGTGAGCATGGTACGGTATTTAGCTCGTACCGATACCGATCCCGAAATATCGGTTCGGTATGGTTCGGGATGGTTCGTTATCGGTTTCAGTACAAATCGGGATGATACATACGTACTTACACATTAAAATTTAACAGCGCCCCTTTATTTTTGAAAATTAAAAGTGAATTTAAATAAAAAAAATATGAAAAATTAAAAAATGAATATTTAAATGCAAGAGATGTGTATCAAAACTTAGTTTATACGGAGTATTTCACACACTAAAAAAATGAACGACTACAAAGGAGTATTTCGAATATTTGTGAATACTTTTATGTTCATACACAAAAACTAAAAGTCAAATAAAAGTATAATTTACTCATAATAGAACTTGAACCGATGTTTTTTTAAAAAATTATTATTTAGTGAAGGAATATAAAAATATTACTCCGGGGTATTATTTTTTATAATATTTTAGTATATATGTTCGGTTCGGGATTTTCGGTATGGGACGTCACCTCGTACCGTTTCCAAATACCGTACCGACCATTCGGTTCGGTTCCTTCTCGGTACTTTTTTGGTTCGGTATTTTTCGGTTCGGTATTCTCGGTTTTTTTGGGAAATTTCGGTATCGGTTCGGTACTTGCTCACCCCTACAATTGTGAATGTCCCAATGTATCATGTCTCTTTTACCTTTTGCTATGTCTCATGTTATCATGTTTGATCCTTTAATAGAACGCTTGATTCATAATTACTGCCCGTTCCAGTGTATTTGTTTACTTTGACTTTTTCAAGTCAAAGTGACTTTGAGCTTCAATTACTCTATTTGTATTGCATATTTGTACAATGAAATAAAATTTTAGAAGTTCTAAACTAGACAAACTTAATAAAAATATTTTTATACTAATATACATTACAATATTTGTTTATTTGAAGTTCAAAGTTGACCATGTTTGACTAAAAAAGTCAAACCGAACAAATACAGAATATCTTTTTGAACTTTGATTTGTGATTGGCACGATTTTCTTGGAGTGAGATAGATCTTGTTTGGTTGTGGTTGGTATAAAGGAATCTATGCCACTATACACAATCCTTTCTTTAAAAATGGAAGAAAGTTTTGGGTTTTTTGGTTATTCCAAATAAGAAAGTAAAAGCTTGTTCCCTTCGTTTGAAATCATTAGATCTGGTGTGGTTTGACTTTGATTTGTATTTATAATCAAAGTGGTTCCTATAGTGTGATTTGATTTCAATAAGAATAAGATAAAAAGAATAAATTCTAACAAGATTATGAAAAGAAAGGAGTACTTTTTTCATTCTAGAGTATTCTCTATCTTCTTTAAAAAAACATTTATGTCACAACAAAAACAACCCAAACAAACTCCAAGAAACCAAAATTTCTTATGAACAATTAGAAACAGTTCAAGTAAGGAAGAAATATCTACTTAGGACTATAACATGCTTCGTATGTCGAAATATGATCTTCAATTTTTATACTTCCTTTGTCCTACAAAACTTTTCTTCTATCTTTCTTTATCCGTCCCAAAAAACTTTTCTCATTTCTATTAAAAAGTCACTTTTACTTCTACTGATTCTTAACCTACCTATCACATCATATTCTTTTTACTGTTAATCTATCTATCACATTTACTTTTACCTATTAAGAGAAAAGGGTTGTCTGTGTGTACCTGGTATCTGTTCATGTAGTGATCATCTCCATAGATACCTCTCAAGAGATCAACCAGGTTGAGATGTGGGTCCCTGGGCAAATGGTGAACACTGAGGATGACCAAAGCCCTGACTTTCTCTGGCCTCATCTGGCACAGATGCCAGGCCACCACTGCTCCCCAGTCATGCCCAACCACAAAGACCTTGTCCTGGTCGGGCGCTACCGCCTTGAGGAGAGCCACGAGGTCCCCCACGACGTGGAACAATGTGAACTTCGAAGGGTCGTCGTTGGGGGGCCCCGTGGTGCCCCCGTAGCCCCGGAGGTCCGGCGCCACCGCGCGGTAGCCTCTGGCACCGAGGAAGCGGATCTGGTGGCGCCAGGAGTACCACAGCTCCGGGAAGCCGTGGAGGAAGAGCACCAACGGCTGCCCTTCCTCCCCGGACTCCGCTACGTGCATGTTTATCCCGTTCACCGCCACCGTCGTGTGCGTTATCTTCTCCATCCTTTCTTTCTTTTCTCTTCTTTTTCCTTTGTCTTGTTTATTACAACATTTGGTTGTGGATTTTATAGGGATGAGCGAGCAGTGTGTGGTTTACAAGAATTTCAATCTAACATTCTCCCTTTTGAAAAATGTTCCACTGTTCTTTTGTGCATCTCAGATCTGTCATCATTTTTAAAAAAAAAAATCTTGCTAACCTTTATTATCTCGGTAAATTTGTACTAAATAGTATTAAAATATATGTCATTTTCTAATATAGTAATTAAACGTTTTTATTTCCTAAACATTACTTGAATACTGTCTAATGACGAGAACAATATCCAGTAATGGTGGATATATAGTTTGAACAATGTCTAATAACGGTGGATATTTACTTGAACAATGAACAATGATCAGTAGTACTATATCCGTAATTTTTTAATATGTAATTTTTATTTCTTATTGATATATCGATTTATAAATAACAAAAAATGAGATATCTCTCCTTGTAAATCCCAATTTGTAATTGGAATTTGCACAACTTGACAATAAAAAAGTCCAAACAACAAGTTTTTCACTTAATAATTCTACTTTACTTTAGTTTTTACGGTGCATGTGCGTGTTTGCGAGCGTCATCTCAGACAAGTCGAATATGAACCATTGATTGAAGTGTCACTTGTTTGGGTCAATGGTTGACAATGCTTGGATCTGGGGGGGCCCATCGAATGTGATAAAATCTGTTCCATATTTCAATCTATTCCCTTAAACCCATGGTGGATATTATTTTAGAGGGAACGAAATTTAATTTAAAATTATTTTCAATTTATTATTTAAATATTAATGTAAAATGTAAAAATAAATGTTATGTATTTTTTTTAAAAAAATCTCATTAAAACGTCTACAAACAATAGTTTATAGGATTATATTATTTTGACTAAATTAGTTACAACGATATTCTTTCTTATTCCAAAGGGAGTATTGTATTTTTAATTATTGTTGGGTCATGTTTTCTTCAATTGATCTGAATGGTTCTGATCTAATTGTAATAAGTTCTTTTTGATCATGTATGATCTGATTTGATTTGATCTTTAGTGGGGAAGCTTAAGAACTTAGATACACACATTTGATCTCAACTAGTATTTTCACCCGTGCCATGTACAGGGTGGAACCAATTTTTTGTTTTTGTTATTTTCTTTGTTTCAACATTTTTCAAATATCAAACAACATAAAACATAGTGTTTGCTAATAAAAATTCTATTATATACATTTAAAAATTAACATTTTAAAGTCTTAATAAATTAGAATATTTTGAAAAATGTTGAGGTATACAATATTTTTTTGTGAAGTTATAAAGGTTACCAAAGACATCTAAAGCTAATACTTTCTAGTATATTTTTACTCTCACTCGTGAAATAATAATATAAAATTAACAAGAAGTGAATACTAACTTGGTAAAAATAATATTTTTAATGCCAATGTTTGACATTAACTTTTATTTATTATCATAACGAAACATAAGCAATTGAAAATTATATTCTTTAAAACTTCAAGAGCAATCATGTATGAAATGATATACGGAGTATAATTTATTTATGTTGTGTAACCCTTCAGCCCTTCTCTTAGACTTTATTTTCTAATACCACAATTGTACCGAAGATAAGTTTTCAAAACTTTTAATGTTTAACTTTGTACTATTATACAATTCAGATGGTTGATTGATGTTCCTGAATAACATAATGGGTACAACATTCTTCAAATTAAAATTATTTTGTAGTTTGAGAATTACAAACATTTATTTTCATTTATAACATCAATTATTATCACCATTGATGGGCAAAATATATGATCTGCACATTGGTTCAGATTATCAAAAAAAAAGATTTAACTCCTCGTATTGATATGATTCTCTTCTATCAAATTAATTTTTTAAGAAATATGATTCTCTTTACATGGTTTAATTAAAAAACAAAGAAATTCTGATCCTATAATTATTCTTCATTATATTAATTTAAAAAAACAGATTACCAACTTTATGATTCAAAACATATGATTCTTCTACCCTGCATCGCCACATTAATTTATATTAGTAAAATAAATATTATTTGTCTCTCTTGAATTAATATGATTATCCTACCTCGTATTGATTAAAAATATGGATCTTTTGTCTGTGCATGATTCAAACAATAAAAAAAAATTATAATTAAAAAATTATAATTTTAATACATGATTAGATTTGCAATACATGATTAAAAAGTTATAATTAAAAAACATTAAAAACCTAGTGATTCTACTCCCGCGCATTAATTCAAAAAATAAAAATAAAACCAATAGTGATCCAATGATTCAAATACATATTTACAAAAACATGTGATATCTTTTTAGTTTTTTGGATGCAAAATAATTCAAGCCTGTAAAAGCTAAGCATTTTTAAATTTATCTGACAAATATTTTAGCCATATATCATTCTTTAAATAAATAATCCAAATGAAAACAAAATGGTTCGAGGAAAATCAGCATTGTCATTTCCGGCCACCAAGGACGGGTGGTGGTTTCATCCATCGCCCAATACGAAAACCGTCAATTTCAGAACTGAAATCGGCCCAGAATTGAATCGTGTGTAACCCCTACTTATTACTTATTCTTATTGAAATCGGATCAAACAAAATCACATAAGAAACACTTTTAGATATACCTACAATCAGATCCACGAAGAGAACAAAAGCTTTATATTTGCAATCAAACGAAACATCCACTTGCACGTTTTGGAAACCATAGAAACCATAGTCACATGGCTTCGTTATTTGCAATAATAAGAAAGTTCAAAACTTGTTGATGAAGTTGTAGATGAGGTTGTTGACCTCCTCGGGCGCTTCTTGGTTGATGAAGTGACCCACGCCTTTAAGTACGACGACGTCTTCCAGAAGTGGGACCTGGTCCTTGAACCCGCCATTGTGAATGTACTCTTTTGCCCCTGGAATGTGATACACCAAGTCCTCTTCTCCCACCATAAATTTGGTTGGCACCATCACTTTTGCCCCACACCATGGTGCACTTAGCTCCCAGTCCCTGCATTTTAAGGACCCCCCCCCCCCCCTCACTCAGAATTTTTT